AAAAAATTAAAATGTGAGCCATTTGTCATAGGAATCTCATTAGTCTGAACTGAATGGCAGTGGGGTATGAAGCAGCTCCACCTGCAGAGTTTCTGCCTCTGCTTGTTGAGAAGACGCGCCTACCCCACCCCCATCATCCACAGAAGGTGCCTTGTAATTGCAGATGTTAGTATAGCCACATGATGAAACCTGAAAGGTGTTTTGTTAATTCAGTTTTCAGGCAGACCCCAAAAAGCCCATCGGGGGACACATTCTGGCTCATGCTTCAACAACAAGAATAAGCTTGAGAAAGGGAAGAGGAGAACTCAGAATTGCCAAGATTTATGACAGGTAAATATATTCTTCTTAACCAGATTCTCTTTTATATAGTATTAAATAGAACTGCATCTTCTGAGCATCTAATTATTCCAGTGGCAGGTACTGTGCAAAATTCAAATGTGTGCATTTCTTTCTCAAAAACTATTTATTTCACTAAGAAGTTCCTACTATGCACAGATACTAGAGAGTCAGGAAATTTGTTGATGAACAGATTTGGTCCCTGATCTACTAAAGCTTGCAGTGATGCTAAATAATGAATTCATACCAATGAAAATGTGGTAAGTGCAGGGCAGGGAAAGTGCAAAGCATGAGAGGAATAAATAGAGTCACCTTCCAGGTGTAGAAACCAAGGCCCCAAGCAGTTAGGTGACCATTGTCCACTGTATCAATTTTCAGCAGAGCCCAGGGTGATTGTTTGTAAAACTATCATCTGCTTAAACTCCTCCAATGGCTTCTCATTTTAATTCAGGCAAAAAGCTTAGTGTCTACAGTAATTCATAAAGCACTACATGAACGGCCCTCTTCCTCTTCCTCCTGCTTCCCTCCCCTCACCGCCACCCCCATACTCATTGTACTCCAACCTCAAGGGGCATCTTGATCTTCTATAAATATGCCAGGCATACTCCTGCTGCCTTAGATCCTTTGTACTTACTGTTCTCCCTAGATGGACTAATCTTTCCCCACACAGCCCTCTTTCTGGTTATCTCCAAGTCTTTGATCAAATGTTACCTTCTCAACAATGCTCGTCTTCATGTCCCTATTTCTTTTTTTTTCAGTACTTTTTTTTTTTTTTTATAGAGGCATGTTTTTATTTATTTATTTGTTTGTTTGTTTGTTTGTTTATACATGCACTGGGTACAGTCAGAAGCGTGGGAGGGTGAGAGAATTCACCAGAGCCAGAGCGGGGAGCAGAGCAGGCAGAAGGACCGAAGTACACTGCTGAGGGGAGCAGTGGGCGGCAGGAGAGGTCTGCGCGCCATGTGGGACCCTCCTCTGGTGGCCGGGGAGCAGCCGGGGATCGAACCGGCGTTGCAGAGGCCGCGGGCAGCTTCGCAAGCCAGCGCTCAACCGCTGCGCCACCGGGGAGGCCCCATGTCCCTATTTCTAATCACAAAGCTTCCTCCCCATTTCCGTATTTTGATCCCCCTTTCTCAGCTCTATTTTCTTTCCATGTAAACTTATATTCCAGTATATCATGTTTTTATTATTTCCATTATTTATGCTGTCACTTCCTCTCAAACATTAAGTTCCACAAAGACAGGAATCTTTGTCTATTTTTCTCACATATACATTCAGGTACCTACAAGGGGGATATAGCTGGTGCTCGATAAATATCTTCTTAAAGAGTAAATGAATGGGCTGGCCCCCACATACAACTAATAGATAGGACACCACAGGATTAGAATCCGTGCTACCTGAATCTAGGCCTACACTGTTTCTGTAGTTGAGTATAGGAATGAAGCCACTTAAATCATGCTATCTCTGATGTCTACTAGAGTTTTTGAGAATACTTTTTTTCCCCACCACTACCCCTTATGCCCCCTTTTGATGAAACAGGGACTGCTGACTGACCCCAGAGGTTCTTGACTTTGGTGCAGGAAGAAATTCATGAGGGAGTCAGAGTAGGTGTCAGAAATGAAGCTTTATTGCAGGTGAGGGTACACACTCAAGAGTAAGGCAGATTCAAGAGGGAATCGCACACATTATATACATAGTAATTATTAATAGTAAATAATTAATAGATGACAGTTCTGAGTAGCCTGTACAGTCACCATAACCTGGATATAATAACAGCACAAAGTAGCAGAAAGCTCTTTCTCTCATGGTCAGGATTTTTAAATTTCTGTTTCTGGTCTAATCTTTCATTCCACTTTTAGCCATTCATTTCCAGCTGCTTCCTGAACTCCTCTGCATGAATGTTTGAACTGTGTGCGTCAAGCAACATATCTAAATCTAATTTCTTATTTTTCCCTTCTTTCATGTACACAAAACTATCTGTTCCATTTTTTAGCTCATGCTATTACCTATACCTGGGTACTCCCATTTTGCCTCTTCAAATTTTCTGTGAGGCCACTCCTACTCAGCCTCCCTAGCACGTCTTCTCTTTAGAGTTGTCACATGCATACCTACTTTATGAGACTTAGCTCACTTTGCATGTGTGTCGTATGTCACAGCTTATCTGCTAGACTTCTTGGGAGCAAAGAATGTCTTGTTTTTGTAAAAGCTATAGGGTCTAGTACTTGTCAAAGTATGACCTTCAAAAAGTTAAACATTTGACTTTCTTGCAAATAAATTTGAAATGAACACATGTCAAAGATTCTATTCAACTCCTTAATTAATGAGGAAACACTGGGCCTCCCTGGTGGCGCAAGGGGTAAGTCTCAGCACTATGAAGGTATCAGTAGCCACTGCAGCACGAGTTCGATTCCCAGCCAGGGAGCTGACCCGCATGGCGCAGCAGACCTCTCCTGTCTCGCTCGCTGTTCCCTTCAGCAGTGTATTTCAGTCAATCTGCCTGTTCTGTTCCCCACTCTCTGGTGAATCCTCTCACCCCCACCCCTGCACCCTGGCCTGTACCCCAGCTCTTGAATGCATAATAAATAAATCTTTAAAAAATATGAGGAAACACAGATTCAAAGGATAATTTAAAGACCAGAAATTTATGTAGTTAGTCAAAGGAATGCTAAAATAAATTTGCTCATGGAGGCAAAAGTTGTTCAACTGGAGGGATATCTGTTGTTTTACCACATAATGGAATTCATTTCCATTGCTACAGAATCACCTGTGTTGCTTCAGTTTTATACCTCTGCTCCTGTAGAGTTGTAGAATAAATTAAAAGGCAAAATTTAAAACAGCATATAATCATGACTCATCTACAACATAAAATGCCAAAGATTTTATTTAGCTCATTAATTAATGTGGAAACCAATCAGATTGTCTAACCAGATCAAAGGAAAAATCTACCACACATAACGTAGTCAAATACAGAATGCTGGAATGAATTATAAATTAATTAAAAATAGGTCAATAGTCATAGAACAACAGTTGTTTTCCTCCTCACACCATTTACATTTCTGTGCCTAGGAATATGTTTTACTCAGTTTTCTACTACTTACAAAGTTGTAAAATAGCTCAAAGTCAACAAAAGACAGAGCCCTCACAGAATTGGATGACCTGGAAGAATGTGTTAGACAAGCTATGTTTTCACTGAAGGCACCTAGTGACCTTTTAGTTTATTTCAAACCTTTCACACTTTACCCCGACATTAACTCTAATCACTAGGAAGGTGCACACCCCTTCAGAATTAAATAGCCCCCGAAGGCCCACTGCACATATGCTGTAAGAAAACCCAGTTACCCCTTTCACCTATTTCTAAATTTGGAGTGATTTTTTTCTTGACATTTAGGACCTTACGTAAAGAGGTTGTTCAATAAATGTTTTATGGGGTCAATAATACTTGTAGATAAATTGTGTGGTCCACATTTAGCTGTACCAACTCTGAGATGTCTCTGGAGACTCAGACTGATAGGAGTATGGTGCCTGTGACATGCATATAGTATTTATAGAAATAGAGCTTTTTATAAACTCTGTTCTCTTATATTCTGTTAGCCCTGAGATGCCTGAAAATGAAGCCACCTTCGCAATAACTGCTGGAGGAATTGGGGATGCCAAGGAGTAGGTGGAGAATTGATGCAAATTGCTTCTTAGTGCTTATTAGGAGCTGAAGAAATAGAAAAGTAGTCTCAAATTTCAGATTCTGAAGTAAGAGTTTGTTTTTTTTTCACGTTATTAAAGTCAGCAAGAGATTGAAATCTTAAATTTATCTTAAAAGTCCTTGATTTATAATAACTATACTTTGCATGTTAATTCAGGAATAAATCTGTTGAAAAAAGTTGGGGAAAAGGCGCTTGATTTCCTCACTTAGCTTTCCAAAGTGAGCCCTTATAAGCAGATAGAGAGTCTAAGAACTCAGAAATGTCCCATTTTCCTGCCAGGGGCCTCTTCAACAATTAAAGAGGCAGAGACCAAAGAGGGAGTCCTGCAAGGGAAGGTTGTTTACAGGACACAAAAAAGCTCTTTTATTTATAAAATACTGTATTCTCATCTTTATAGCAACCAAAAATAAACATGAAATTAAGCTAAATTTTAAACCACTGACTTTTGACAAATTGAAATTACTTTTTTTTTAATAGAGGCATGCTTTATTTATTTGTTTGCTGGTTTGTTTGTTTGTTTTGTTTATACATGCACTGGGTACAGTCAGAAGTGCGGGAGGGTGAGAGAATTCACCAGAGCCAGAGCGGGGAGCAGAGCAGGCAGAAGGACCGAAGTACACTGCTGAGGGGAGCAGCGGGCGGCAGGAGAGGTCTGCGCGCCATGTGGGACCCTCCTCTGGTGGCCGGGGAGCAGCGGGGATCGAACCGGCGCCGCAGAGGCCGCGCGCAGTTTCGCAACCCAGCGCTCAACCGCTGCGCCACCGGGGAGGCCCTGAAATTACTTTTTAAGAATGTACTTCTGATGTATGTGTATTTTATTGGAAACATAAAAAGGAAGGTAATTAGGAACTTTACAAATTTGGGTGAAAAAGGAAGAATGACTTGCATTTTAAGTTTTGAATAAAGAATTTCAAATCTTTTATAAAATATTAAAAATGTAAAATTCATTTTAGAAATGTGTAAGAGAATATTGTTTTTTATAATTGTTAATATCTAGTTTTCAAAATGCATGAATCATAAAATATTTAAACATTAAAATACTAATAATATGCACAATGACAATCTTTATAGCTTCAAAAAGATTTAATCTCTTATGTTACTCAACTTGTATGAAAATCCAAGCATTGAAATTACCATTTATTGCAAAAAGTATTGTCTTTCATCTTTGATCTTCCCTACGTTGTATATGGAATGCTGTGCTAAAGAATATATAGGACAGTATATTCCTGTCCAATCATTTCTTTCTAACGAGCAAAGAAAATAAAAGGACAGAAAGGAGAACAGGATAGGTTGGCCATGCCAAAGTGAGGGATTGCAATTGACTGACTCAGAAAAGGGGATGTCTTTCATGAAGAAGAGAGGGACAGGAGACTTAGACCCAGGTGAGACCTGACTCAGGATATGTATCATTTTTTTTCTTGCATCGTTTCCATTTCTCCATCTCAGTAACACTCTGGATTTCTTTTCAAGAGTCACCTCTCCCTATTCATGGATTCATGCCATCTACCCTGAAACATCACTTGGGTGAGTGTATGGGTTAAAGGCCACTCATACACACAAAGACGGCAGGGCCGCAGCAGCAGTGTCAACCTCCCCAGGTTGTTATTGATTCAGCCTGCGGAGCTGCATGGATACATGTCCATTCCCAGGGTGCTTCTCTCTTCTGCCAATTCAGTGGTTTCCAATGTCCTTGTGCTAAGTCTCCTTTGGCTTCATTATCCAGAGTTGGAGTCTTCTGCTCGCAGTCTAGGGGTCTCGCCGAGGCACTGATGAGGTGACTCCCAAATGCTGTCTCGGGACTAGAAAGAAAGGAAGCTGGGAAGGCTATGCTGATACTCAGGCGGGAGAGTCCTGCATACTCATACTCTTCTCTGCCAGTCTTCAGTATTTTAAAAGAAAGTTGTTAAAGAGACTATGTTAGTTGGGATCTTACTTAGCTGAATATAAGAGAAAACTCCAAAATAATAGTATCTGAAACAAAATCGAGGTATATTTTTCACTCATAGACAAGAAATCTGAAGCCAAGAAGGTCAGAGCTGCTGTGGTGGCTCTGCTTTGCCACTAGGAGCCCAGGATTCTATCTTTCTGCTTGACTATCCTAGGTCTTGGCTTCCAGTCTCAAGGTCAGCTCATGATCTGAGATGGTGTCTGGAAAGACAGAAGGGGAAAAAATGTCCATCTATCTGAGTCAGCTCTCCACACAGTACAACACTTCTACTCACATCTCTCTGGCCTGAGCTCTGGGGTATCTGTAGCAAAGAGGGTGGGGAAGTATAGTCTTTTGTTCTAGATGGCAGCACACTCAGACCAAATGAGAAGTTCTATATATTAAAGAAGAAGGAGAGTGGTGGTCAGGTAAGCAACTAGCAGTTTCTACCACAAAATCTTTCACCTCCTCAGCAACAACAAATTATCAAACATCTATTCTGTAGACAAGTCATTATAGGCATTCTGTCCTTGTCCTAGTAGAGCTTGCTGAGGAGTCTATGGGTTAGGATGCCTGCAAGTGACAGAAAACAACATAAAGTGATTTAAACCATGAGGAAATTGCCGTCTTGTAAAATAAGTCCAGAAGTTGACCAGCTCCATTGTTAATTGACTGATTCTATAATATCATCAAAGGCAGGTTCTTCTGCTCCATTTTCCCTTCTTTAAGTGTTGGTTTTCTTCAAAAGTTCCCCTCATGGTCAAAAGATGGCTTACATTAGTTACTTTCACGTCTTAGCACAACTACAGCTAGAAAAAGGCAAGGCACATCTTTCAGGCACAAGGAGACAACTTAGTGATGCCACTGCGTTGGTCTCATGCAGTGCCTGGAGGGTCTGAGATGGCTGGCTCCTGTATCTGGACTCTTGGCAGGGAGGGTTGCGAGGGCAGGACTGCTCTCTGTCGTCATTCAGTCGTCTAGCTTGAGCTCCCTCACGTAACCCTGATGCGAGCTGGCGTGCCTCCAGGTGTGTGCAGACTATATTTGGCCCCTGTGATCAAAATGATGTAAATACCAGGGCTGCTTGGAGACTCCAGTTGGTGTTGCGCTGACCTCTGGATGCTTTCACTGTCTGTGTCCTTATGTTCTGGTTTGTGGAGCCACCTGTTTACTTCACATTACCAAGACTGTGTGTTTCTAAAGTACAGTTGACTGGAACAATCATAAAGCTCATGGTCAGTTCTCCTTTTCCTTCTGTTCCTCAGCAGGATGCTGTCATCCTTCCTTTCTGACTCTCCATTCAGCAACATGACTGATCAATACCCCTGTTTCTATCTGGGGAACACATACGAATCTATTAAAATACATGAGCCCACCCCTCTAATTCCTGCTCAGTCTCTAAGGATGAGCTTGGATTTAAGCATCTATCTCCTTCCTTTCTGCCAGTCAGTGAGGGTTGACTTTCCATCTTTGTCAAAAGCAAAACAAGAATCCCAATCACCCGTTCTTCAGGAGAGAAGAAATCCTTATGTTTCACAGCTAACCTGAGGCCCTGCTCCAGTTCAAGAGTTCTTGGGAGGTCAAGGCCATGGTCACACAGGCCTGGCTGGTCTGATCTCTTCACTCTTGAGTTCCACCCAGGAGAGCTCAGGACAGGGCCCAGAAGGTGACATGCAGATCTCCCTTAGCCACAGTGACCCAGTATTTTACTTGAGTCAGTTTTATGGCTTACCCAGAACTGAGAAGCCACCATCGAAATGGTCTTGGTCACTCATCCTTTGGTGAGTTCAAGCCTATGATGGTTTTTCCTACTGCTAGCAAGTGAGGAGCCAGGAGGTCAGCTGCACCTGGACTTCAGCTGCTGAAAACTGACCGGCCGCCATCTTTGTACAGTTAGCAGGGTAGGCGGGGTAGGGTAGACTAACAGGAGCAAGGAACATAAAGAAAATTACATCCTTGTGCCTTACAATCTACCGGCTCACCTCTGACTTTTCAACTGGGACTGGGTATCAGTTATCTCACAGGTGGCTGCCTTCTCTCTGGCATCCAGCTCTCAACTGGTATCTGACTGGAAGTGGAACTCAGCAGTCCTTGGTGTTGTAGCGACACTGCCATTAAACCAGCAGCCTCTAGAGAGCACTAGCAAACATTACTAATTGTATTGAAGGTAAAGGTACCTCCTCCCCGTGCCCCCTCATGCAAAACTTTTTGACATTATCTGGATTCTGATTTTGCTTTCCCACATCCATCATTTAACACTGTCTTTACATGTATCTCGAGTCAACAATTAGCTAGGGTCCCCTTGACTCACAAGGCTGCTTAGGGAATTAATATTTTTCTGTCACCAAATGAGAGAGGGCTGTTGGCTGAGGCAAAGGCAGGGTGGATGTATCATCTTGCACATTCCAAAAGGGAAATGCCAAGCATGTGTGTTTGTGTGTAGGATTTGCCAAGCCTTGTTGATGATGAGCCCCTACCTTCTCACCCCACCCTCTCATGTGTCTTTAAGATGGATAAATACTGCACCTCACTCTGGTGAGCCGACCGCACGGTCTGAACTCTCTCCTTCCTCAGCTTGCTTCTGATTTGCATTGAGGGGAGAAACTGAACAGCTGCCCCCATTATCTACAAAGAGAACAGGAAAATACCACTTTCAGGTGGTAAGTGCCTACCTTTGGTCGCCAGAGCAGCGAAGATCACTTAATTCCCTATGGTTGGGGGAGGTGGCAGACGTGGACCTTGAGTTATTCTATTTCTATGCACAGAGAGGAATTAACAAAAATCACAAAACTGGCATAAAAAAGATGTAGGTGAAGAATAGAGGCTGTAGAGGCAGGAAGGGCCACAGTAGGTTTTCTATGATCTGAGCAGACGGGGTAAGGAGAAGAGTGTCCTGGAGCCCTCGGTGGCTTTTGCAGCCTTTTATTGGGACTTACAGGACTTACCAGGGGTGCTGGGGGAGGGTGGGGGCTGGGAGGCTGGCAGGCCACCCAGCCCCCAGCAAATCTTCACTCTTTCTGGGCTCTTCGGAGTTCTCTCATGGCCTTTCTTCTCTGCAGTTCCATTCTTTCATTCTCTTTCGCTCTGCTGTTCTGTTCTGCTTCTGCTGGCGTCCCCCTGACGCTGTCCTTATAAGCCTAGTCTCAGCCCAGGTGAATCCCATCTCCATATGCCCACACCCTACTCCAGGTGCCCGCCATCAGGCGTGCATTCAGGACCGCTGGGATCCATCATCCATCCTAATGGCAGGAGAGCAGAAAAGCCTGATGCTTTTTCATTTACCCTACAGCGGCCTATTCACATCTGCTGAGGCAGGAGGGTGGTGAGACGTCGGAGCTAGAATTTGGAAGGCCTTGAGTACCAGACTGTGGGGCCTGGGCCTTCAGGTTGTGGAGGACCAGTAGAAAGTTACTAAGCATTTCCTGTAACTCCTTTTTCTTTTTCAACTTTTTCTTTCCAGAATTTTACCCTTTTTATACTGAATGTCTTTTTATTTCTCTGCCACAAAAAACTATGAAACAAAAATTAAATTTCCTCATTTCCTGTGACCCTGAGGCTCTGTGTATTGGTAGACTGAGGATTATTACAATTATTAGAACGCAGTTAACCAAAGCAATATAAATGTATTACAGCTCAGCTATTCAACATAAAAAGTAAATTTTTATTGGAAATGCATCCTTTAATAAGATAGAGGGAAATTAAGATAAAGTAGGTCCTGTTTCCGTGGGAGTGTGTTACTTTTGGCTATTCTTTTTTCCTCCCGTTCTATAGCTGTACGTGCTGTGAAATGCTGATCATGTAATGTAGGTAAAAATGGAAAAAGTTTTGTTGTAGTCATGTCATTCAACTCTGATTTTCTTTCAAGTTATATGCCAAAAATCCAGTAATCTACAGAAGTTATTTTTACTGATCTAAATTGGCTGAAAATTCCACGAGGTCCTTCTTCCAATCTATTGAAAGCAAAGAACTGGAATTCTCTTCATTTGGAAAAGGATGTGTTACCATGTTAACATCAGCGTTTCTAATTGTCCCTAAATTTGGTACCTCTGAGATTTTTATATCCATGGCAAAGTCCATAGTGAGATTTTGGGTAAAAGAGAAACACTTTTCGTTTGTAGAGTGGGAGGATGCAGTTTTGAACAAATGTCTCAGTCATATCAATTTTAGAAAAGTATATATATATAGAAGTTCAAGTTCTGGAAATAGATTTCCTCAAGTCTTGTGCCTGTGTCCCTCGCTTACCATAATTTAAAGGCAGCTGCTTTGCAGTCCTTGTTGACTTAAGTAGAACAGTATTTGCAGCCTTTTATATCTGAAGCACAACAAACCGAGCCACAAAGAATCACTGGGTCCTGACAAGACAGAAAGCAGCAGCCTTGCGGTTCACACTGGGGTGCATTTAATGATGATGAAATTGCAGAGCTGTGAGACAAGCCAAGAGAAATGTGTGTACAGAAGTTAGTATAGGTGCTGACAATAAGTTTTATTTACAAACAAATACTTACGGCTTTAAAACCTGAACAAAAAGAATAATTCTCCTAGTGATTGGAAATTGAGAATAATTTTTACTGCTATAACAACACTAAACACATAAAATTAAAAATGGCAATGGTATTACTGGTAGGTGACCCACATCTGCAGAGAAACTGCAGATGATGATTCCGAAGAGGGATCATTGACTCTGTGGTCCCATGTCAGGCAGCGAAGCACAGTGGCTCCCCTGCCGTGGTTCTAGGTTGGAGTGGTTCTTAATGCCCCTTGTGACACTTCTGGCAATGTCTGGAGACATTTTTGTCGTCACAACATGGAAGCATAGGGAGATTCTATGGCGTCTAGTGGATAGAGTTCAGGAATGCTGCTAAACATTGCCATGCATAGGGTGACCCCGCACAACACATGACTATCACGGAATGACAATAGTGCCAAGTCAAAACTGTGCCAGGCACCTGAGTCTACATCTACTATGCCAGGTGCTGGGCTAGCTACTTGATCTTCCTAAGCCTCAGCTTTCTCATCTACAAAGTAGAAAAATGATAACCACTGACATTTGTTGAGTGTTGTGTGCCAGGCACCACTCTAAGTGGTATTATATTTGCTTTTTCCAAAATCCCTGCAAAGTACGGTTATCGCATGGAGACAAAAAGCTCAGTGTACATACCTGGAACACGGTAACCATGAGCTCTCAATAGCTGTCAGTTCTTAGGTGTTTAAGACTTGATTTTTTTTTTTAGTGCGGTTTTAAGGTTCAAAACTGAGAGGCAAGTGCAGAGATTTCCAATACACCTCTTGCCCTGACACACAACTTCTCCCATTATCAACATCCCACCAAAGTGGTCCATTTTTTTAGAGGCATGTTTTTATTTATATTTATTTGTTTGTTTTGTTTATACATGCACTGGTACAGTCAGAAGCATAGGAGGGTGAGAGAATTCACCAGAGCCAGAGCGGGGAGCAAGCAGGCAGAAGGACCAAAGTACACTGCTGCAGCGGGCGGCAGGAGAGGTCTGCGCGCCATGTGGGACCCTCCTTGGCCGGGGAGCAGCCGGGGTCGAACCGGCGCTGCAGAGGCCGCGGGCAGCTTCGTAACCCACGCTCAACCGCTGCGCCACCCCAAAGTGGTCCATTTGTTACAGTCGGGGAACCTACATTGACATGTCATATCACCAAGAGCCCATATTTTACACTAGGGTTTATTCTAGGTGTTGTACGTTCTGTGGGCTTGGGTAAATGTGTGACATATCCACTGTTATGGTACCATAGTTTCACTGCCTTAAAATAATCCTCTGTGCTCCGTCTATTCATTCCTCCCTCCCTCTTGATCCCTGGCAACATTGATCTTTTTACTGTTTGCATTGTTTTGCCTTTTCCAGAATGTCATGTAGTTAGAATCATACAGTAACTTTTTCAGATTGGTTCTTTCACTTAATATACACTTAATTTTCTTCCATGTCTCTTTATGGCTTGGTAACATATTTTTTAAATGCTGAATAATATTCCATTGCCTGGATGTACCGCACCCATGTACTGAAGGACAGTGTGGCTGCTCCAGGTTTTGGCAATTAGGAACTGCTAGAAACATCAGTGTGAGCATAAATTTGCAAATATTTTGATAAATGCCAGGAAACCCAATTCCTGGGTCATATGGTAAGTACTTGGTTTTTCAAAAAGAGGATGAAATGAACAAAGCATAATTCCACTTTTACTAATAGTCTTGGCTGTTACTTGTAAAATTCCTGTGTTTTCTGATGTCCTGTGTTTAGGAACAAAACGTAAAAAGTAACTATATTTGGTAGGAAAACAAATATATCAAGAATGAGAAATGTATACTATAGATTTACTTTATAATTAGAAATTTGTCTGCCATAGCAAGACTGAAAATTCCCCCCTTTTTTTGAGGCTGGGATTAAGCAGATGCTGGAATTAATCAAATAATGGAAATACACAATTTCAGACTGTGAAAATCTGTATGAAGACAAAGGAGTTATGAGATGCTGTTAAGACAGGGGCCTGATCTAGGAGCAAAATGTGAATTATTTCCTCACAGCATAAGGTAGGGGGGGTTTCTTAGGACCTACTTTATAAATTCATTATTGCCATAGAGGGACCCTCGGATTTAGTTACTTGGTATACATGATAACTAGGCAAACCAGCCCTCATCAGTCCTTTAGTGCCTGCACAGACTAAATCACAGGAGGAGCTCATTGGCCAATTCCTACAAGTCACCCTTTACTCTCTCTCTTTTTAACTTTAAATGGGTAGATTTATTAGGAAAATGAGAAAGGAAAAAAGAGGCACCCGAGTAGTCACAGGCGGGCAGTAGAGTGCCCTTCCACCCACCGGCACATCACTGGCTTGATTTTCAACCAGACCCTCTCTCCCTCAACTGTTTTTCCTACTGACCTGCAACAAGGCCTGTCACCTCTTGCCAGGATTCCTGCAGTATCGTAATTAATCGGCCTGCTTCTGCCATAACTCACTCATTTTAATATCCTCACTGCGGTCATGGGCGTCCTTTTACTACTGCTGAGTGACTCCGCCAAAGCCGGCAGCGGTTCCAGCTCACGAAGCGGGAAGCACAAAGCCCTTGGTCTCTCCTCCTCGCTCTATCAACTCCAGCCACATTCCCCTCTGGGCGGCCGCACCAGCCCGGGGTCTCCGCGGGTCCGGCTCCCCCGGGTTAGGGCTCCGCGCTGGGGTCACCTGCCGGGCAGGCCCTCCAGGCACACCCGACAGCAGCCGCAGCCGCCGGGACACCGCCCTCGCCGCCTGACTCACTGTTCCCGCGCCCCGGCTTAGTTTTCCTGTTCGCTAACACCTGCCTGAGGCAAACATCTATTGTCTGGCCTTCCCGTGAGCGCTGCCTCGGGGAGCACAGGGCTCTGCTCCCTGCGGGGGGCCCCGCCTGGGGGGCTCAGCGACCGCAGACGGCGGGGTCCCGCCTCTCCAGGGCCCAAGACCGGCCGAAGGGCAGGACGTGAAGCTCCTGTGCTTGTGCCACTGGCCTAGTCCCTCGGGAGACACCGGGCAGAGTGGCGGGGGCCGCCGGCCGCCCCTCACCCGCGGCAGGCGGCGTCAGGCCGCGGCTCTCCGGGCTCCGGCGGCTGCAGCCCGCGCGGCTCCCGGCCGGCTCGGGAGGCGCGAGGGGGCGGCGGGCGCGGGAAGCCGCCCTGGGTGTGTGGAGAGTCCGCTTCCCCGCCTGCGGCCTCGCGGCTGCGCCGCTTCCTGCGCCACGGGCCGCGGCGTCCGGCTGGCGGGCGGCACACGGCGGGCGGCGAGCCGCCCGGGGCGGGGCGCACACGGCTCGAGACGCGAATTCTCTGAGCACCGAGCGCGGCGGCGAGGGCGCCAGCCCGGCGGGACGCCGCCCCCGAGCCCTCCCGAGAGGACGGGCCAGGCGCACCCCGGACGGCGCCCGGCGGCAGCACCGCCGCAGGCCACCGAAAGGAAATGGCGCCGGGCGGCCCGTCTCGGCGGGCGCGGGGCGAGAGGGCCGGGGGGCGGGGGTTGCCCAGGAGCGCCCCCCAGGGCCCCCGAAAGACCCTCCCGGGCGCCGCGTCCCCGGAGTCCGGGAAGCTGACGGCCGCAACATGGAGGACGGTTATTGTCCGCAAAGCGACTGGCCCGAGTAGGCCCGAGTAGGCCCGAGTAGGCCCGAGTAGGCCCGAGTGCCGACCCTGCGCGGAACCCGACAAAACCCTCTATTCTCCAAACAGAACGCCTTACGCACACTGCGCATCTCCGCAACAGTGGGCCGGCCGACGACGCCAGGAATGTTACGTCGCTCCCGAGGCGCTCCCCCGCCTCCCGACCCTACGTTCTACTTCAGGCGGCGCGAGAAATCTACGCCCGCTCCGTACTTTGTTTTTCTTCTGCCGACCGCCAAGGGCGCCCATCTCCGCAACTGACGTAAAAGACTTCCAAGAATACCCGCAGTGCGCCGCGGAGCCCTCGGGCGATTCCGAGGCGCTGTTTACGTACCGTCTCCGGCGTACGCAGCGTTAGGCTGGAGCAGGCTCGGCGCCGCCGCCATTTTGTGCAGTCGCTGGGAAGGAAGGAGACGCCTAAGCCGCGGCCCTGCCGGGTTTGAGCGTAGCCAAACCTGCCCCCTGTTTTTATTACCCCGATTCTCTGAGTTTTGCTCCCGTCTCCGACGAGAGAGGCGGCGACGGTGGCGTCTGCGACGGGAGACAGCGCGTCGGAGCGAGAGAGCGCCGCGCCTGCCGCCGCCCCAACAGCGGAGGCGCCGCCGCCATCGGTCGTCACCAGGCCGGAGCCGCAGGCGCTCCCGAGCCCGGCCATCCGTGCCCCGCTCCCCGACCTCTACCCGTTTGGGGCCATGCGCGGTGGCGGCTTTGGGGACCGGGACCGGGACCGGGACCGCGGAGGGTAAGGGGAGGCGGAGCGCGGCCTGCGCGGCCCGGCGGGCCCGGGCGCGGCGACCCCGGGGGCGGGGCGGGCGCCCGGCGCGGTAGCGGTTTGGGGCGCGGGGGGCCCGGGTCCCGGCGGGCGGGGGGCGGCCTGGCCAGGGCCCCAGGCCGTCGTGTCGCGGGGCGCTGGCGGGGCGGCCTGGTCTGGCTGCCGGCCCTTAGAGGTCGGCGGGCCCGGAGCAGCTACTGGGCCGGGCCGGGCCGCTCGGCGTGAGACGCGGACGTGCTCCCGGGGAAGAGGGTGCTCCCCAGCCCAGCCAGGGACGCCTTCGCGCGTAATGGCTGCCCTGCGCTTATCTGTCGCCAGCGATACTGCTCACGGCACCGAAAATCTGGCTTAAAACGAGAGACAAGTAGTTTAGAATAAATATTTTAAGATTCTCCTTTGCCGTAGTTTAAATAACTCGAAGGGTGTCCTGCATGGTCGCGTTTGGGGAAGGAGAGGTATTTGGTGGTTATTGCAGGCCTCATCTCACCCCCCCCCCCCATGTTTCAGTCTGGTAGACCCCCCCCACCCCCACCCCATATTTCAGTCTAGTAGGACCAGAGCATTAACCTCTCCGTGTACCTGGCAAGTTTTGATGGAGTAATGCCGGGGGTGCTGGGTTGGAAGTTAGGACTAAACCTGAGTTCCTCCCAGATACTGAGATGCAAATCTTAAGGTCGGTTGCACAAAAAAGTTACTGAAAGAGACCGTGTTCGTTTGTGTTGTTACTGTTTTGTAATAAACATTTTATGTCTGGAGAAAAAATTGTGACGCCACTTAATATTTGTGTGACTTTGGGCCAGATCCTGAACCTTTTGAGCCTCTTTTCTCGCCTGAAGTGGGGAGACTTGCCTTGCCTTCGCATTGTTCTTGGGAATTAAGAGAAACTATGTGTGATGTCTCTGTTGTAGATTGTGTTACTGTTTTCTCCAAAAACTTTTGTCTTTCGCGGTCCAAATACACAAGTACCAGCCTTAATACACAAGCACCTCAGTTATCATCTAATTTACAAAATAAAAAATTATTTTGATTTTATACTAGGAAGGAGAATATTTGATCTTAGTGTTAAATTGAGAGGGCTGGAAGTGGGATGTTTAAAAGTGAGTTTCAGTACAGCTGCTTAGGAAGATGTAACATTACTTAGTAAAGTTGAAAATGGCCCAGTATTTCACTTAAGCTTTGTAGCATAGGTTCTGAGCCCTAGACAAACCCACATGTAGCCATGTACAAAAATTGCTTATACCATATAGCATTGTTCTTAACAATATTGGAAACAGCTCAGAAATCTGGGGAAATTGTGGATATTTGCACAGTAGACTACAATACAGAAGTGAAAAAGAAAAAACTTGCATCGATCTTAGTGACTCATACCTAATAGTGAAGAAGCAGGTTGTGGTGGAAGGGTAACATGTGCAAGGGTACATGCAGATAGGACAAGAGTATGAAAAGCAAGGGAATGATTAATAAAGTTCAAGGTAGTTCATTATGGCTACAGTTGTAAGTTAGAAATCGGCTCTCAGTGGCCTCCAGGTACTGGCAACCTTATAATTCTTTATAATGGATGTTTGCTTTTCGTATTTCCTGACACCATAATCTATGCTTTAATAGTAAAAATATTTGAAAGAGGCAAAACAATTACTGCTCCATATTTGAATTTGAGGTGACATTTTTTTAAAAAACTTAAAAAATTGATTTCAAGCAAGATGAGACTGAGATTTGTACTCATTCTACCTTTACCATGAAATTTCCCTTACGATTTTAATTTTTATTGTTTTGCTCTTAATGTTACAGAGCTGAAATTATGTTTTTTAAAATAGGGAATGAGTGAGGCTAGTATATGCACATGTACAGGGAAGAGATGTGTGTTTTATATTTAAACTGCATGGTTTTATATGGTAATGTATAAAACTTCAAAGCTGCATTTATTGCAAAGCAAAAAAGTGTTAAAGGATGGCTCAAAGGGGCTAAAAACTTCAAGATGGCTCTTGAAGATTAAAACCAGCATTAATTACCAATGTGGAGGAGGGCATATTTTAAAAGAATCTCAGACTTCAAACTCTTTTTAGGATGGTATGTCTTGGATAAACAGCCAAGGCAATAAGGAGGGAGAAAGGAAAGAACTCTCAAAAAGTACTACTACTTGGAATAAACCTTAGCAGGAGTTGACTTTCATAAGTTACATTTCTTTTGGGTCATCAGTTTAAGGTAGAGTACCTTAGTTGAAAATGTTTTAGTTGATTTGCAAGTGGGGCAGGAAGTGGTCTTTGAAAGTCTCTTCCGCATGGAGCCTTGAGCATGAGGACTTCCGGAGGGATGTCGGTGGTAGCTTACTTGATGCTGTGCCTGTATTGATGCCTAATGTCTCCTACCAGTTCAGTAGGAGTGTAGGTAGGTTTAGCCAAATTCCTCTTACTGAGTGTATATTCCTAATGTTCGAAACAAAATTTCCTGCCATCTGATCTTTATCTTTGTATTTAGAGAAATATTTAGCCTGAGTTCTAAGAACATTTTGAATTTCAGGCAGTTGAGGCCTTTTAAAATTGTTAGTATAGCTGTTGTCTGTCAGTTAAAAGAACTATCCACAAGATGATGTTTTGAGTGGGGGAAAAGTGGAGCAGGGCAATTGAATTGAGTATGTTTTTAAGGCATAAGGAAATGACAAGAAAACATTGTATACCAAATAATTCCCACACTAACAGATTGGTGCAGAAATGGGTGAGGATTCTTCTAGGAAAGGGGAACTATTTCAAGTTAAGCTAGTAACCGAATTTGTCACCCAATTGAAGTTGATTTGTGAATCTTAAAAGTAAAAGGACTTAAGTAGTCTGCATTTTTAAACCTGAAGGGAGACCTTAGCAAAGTTGTAGTTTGCCCAGGAACAAAAGGGAGCTGTAAGGTATCAAGGGAGATAAAGAGGCCTTTGTTCTGGCTAGCCCACCAGCCTCTCAGGGGTCCTAATGGTTTTCCCTAGACAGTAGGTACACTTCATAAAGAGGGTCAGGGCTGAAGAAGCTATTTGAAGGTTGAGACAACTTGCTGGAAGTACTCACCCTGGCCCAAATCCTGCCCTTAATTTAAGCGTAAACTAGTATAGTCCTTACCTGCCTGTTTCAGTATTACACAAGAGTTGAGACTTCTGTTTTCATTCAAGTATCTCGTGTGTGACTTACAACAGTACCTGGTACATAGTTGATACCCAGTAACTATTGGTTGAATGAATACAATTATGCTAATTTGTACAGTGCTTCACTGTGCTGGATGCTATCTTAAGATGACACTAGTTCCGTCATCTTCACAACAATCCCCGAATTTTCAACTTTTTTTTTTTTTTTAATACTTGCACTGGGTATAGTCAGAAGTGCGGGAGGGTGAGAGAATTCACCAGAGCCAGAGCGGGGAGCAGAGCAGGCAGAAGGACCGAAGTACACTGCTGAGGGGAGCAGCGGGCAGCAGGAGAGGTCTGCGCCCCATGTGGGACCCTCCTCCGGTGGCCCGGGAGCAGCCGGGGATCGAACCAGCGCTGCAGAGGCTGCGGGCAGCTTCTCAACCCAGCACTCAACCGCTGCGCCACCGGGGAGGCCCCGAATTTTCAACTTTTTATAAGAAACTGAGATGCAGAGTAGTTAAATAATTTACTCAGAATCATACTGTGACAGACTCATAATTGAAACCTTTTCTGGTTCAATTCTGGTTCTAGAATCTGGTTGTGATCCCCATGATTTGTACCTATAACAAAAATTGCTGAATAGCCAAGGAAGTTTTATGATTGTCTGCATACCTCCAAATAAGAACTGAAACGTGAAAGGAGCTGGTAGTCTAAGACTCCTCTAAGTTTTTGAAGGTTTTTATAGCACTTGGAAAAGTACATTAAAAATAACTAATAAACTAAAAATTTCAATGTTTCTAGGTTTGGAGCAAGAGGTGGTGGCGGCGGCCTTCCTCCAAAGAAATTTGGTAATCCTGGGGAGCGTTTGCGTAAAAAGAAGTGGGATTTGAGTGAGCTTCCCAAGTTCGAGAAGAATTTTTATGTGGAACATCCAGAAGTGGCAAGGCTGACTCCAGTAAGTTTGGGAAGTTTTATTTACCCTTTTTTCATACACAACAATGAGTCAAGTAGACATATTAGCCAGAGTTGATTTGTCTACTGCTCTTGGTGTTACATGTTATATTCTAGGGCAGTGATCCTTTCCTTCAATTTTATTGACTACTGATATCCGTAAGAGAAATCCACTACATAGGTGCCTGATGTATTGCTTGGTTCTCCTGTGTAGGTTTGCTGCCCAGCCAGCTTGTCACATGGGGTTTTAATTGTGTGTATGAGGTCATGTCTTTTCATCTATGAAATAAGTTAAATAGATTTGATATTTTGGCAGTGCATGCTCCTGTTTGTCTTTTTAACCTCATAATTTGTCTTCGTTTTCCTCCATAGTATGAAGTTGATGAACTACGCCGAAAGAAAGAGATTACAGTGAGAGGGGGAGATGTTTGTCCGAAGCCTGTGTTTGCCTTCCATCACGCGAACTTCCCACGTGAGTGTTCCTCAACTCAGTATTCTTGTTATTTTTGTTGAATGGGAAATGTGGGTGATAGGTTATTTAAAGGTTTGACCCAGCCTCAGGATTTTGTCAAAAGATGAACAGAAACCTTTCACAAAGGTAATTATTTTATGTAATTAAAAAAAAAAAATGCTCAAGGCCAGAAGTAAATGTAGCATAGAAGATCTTTTAAATGCTCGACTATTTTCTGAAATAGAGGGTTGGTTTGGTTTTGGTTTGGTTTTTTGTTTTTCTGTTTGTTTTTTGTTTTTGTTTTTGTTTTTTTGAGAGAGTTTTTCATTTTGATGCTTTGCTTCTTCCTTTCAGAATAGAATGAAACTGCTTTGTAGCTGGATGTTACTTGAATTTGGTAAACAATATGACTCTCATGTGCCTTTGCTCCATTAGCTACTTTAGAGCAGTGGTTTTCAGCTTTTAAGGGAAAGGGGAGATGACTATAACCGCCCTGCGCTCTTGGGGAGATGTAAATCAGGGTTGTCTTCAGAGAACTTAATGTATTTTTTTTAAAACACTTTTGGTTGTCTGGTTTGTTTTCAGTAATGTCTGTTCTCTTACAGAATATGTAATGGATGTGTTGATGGATCAACACTTTACAGAACCAACTCCAATTCAATGCCAGGGATTTCCTTTGGCTCTCAGCGGCCGGGATATGGTGGGCATTGCGCAAACTGGTTCTGGGAAGACATTGGCAGTAAGTACCCACAGGAAAAGTTGTTAACACTGTGGTAACTTATTTTACTATTTTAATAAAAGAATTTTCCTTGGTGTAGGTAATACAGACTTTTTGGGTGTCTGACATGGTGGAAGTGCGTTTATGTTCAAACTAACGTTGTGCATTATATGTGGCAAAGTGAGCGGCTGTTTAGGCATTATCAATCACTGATAATTTTCACACTACTAAGATAAGATGGTTTAATTTTGGTGTAAGACTGTCATTTTTTCCTCCCCAGTATTTGCTGCCTGCAATTGTTCATATTAACCACCAGCCATACTTGGAAAGGGGAGATGGCCCAATTGTAAGTGTTTTGCTTTATTTTATTTATAATTCTAAGAATAACTACAGTTTAGATTTGTGATTTAGGCCCCATTTTCAGATTTCCTTCTCAAGCCTACTTTCATGTTTGGGAATGTTCTTAGCCCCATCTTACTGATAATTTTGCAATTTAACTGATAAATTGCACTGATAACAGTGCAATTTAACAACTTGCCTGAAGTCATACAGCTATGAAATAACTGAGTTTGAATTGAACTAATACTACTCTAAACCACTGTGTGTACAATCTTCATATATAGGCAGTGAACTCATGCACAAGTCTTACTGCTCAGTGATGCTGTGGGGGATACAAAAGAAATAAGAGATGAGGTCCCTGCCCTGTGGAGCTGAGTCAGGTTCAGGATTTGTTGTTCTTTTTTTTTTTAAATAAGAACTTTAATGAGTTTTTTGTTTTTTGTTTTTTTTTTTTTTTTTTTAAGATTAATTTTTATTTATGTATACAAGAACTGGGGTGTAGGCCAGAGGTGTGGGTGGGTAGTTGTGAGAGAGGATTCATGAGAGACAGTGGGGAGCAGAACAGGTGGATCTACTGAAACACACTGCTGAGGGGAGCAGCAGGCAAGACAGGAGAGGTTTGCTGCGCCATGTGGGTAGTTCCCTGGCTGGGATCGAACCCGTGCCACAGTGGCAGTGGACAGCTTGATAGTGCTGAGACTTTAACCCCTGCCACTACCAGCGAGGCCTGGGATTTGTACTTTTTGTGATTAGTGATACTTTTGTTTTTATAGGATAGCACAGTTTTCTGATTTGATTATTATAGTCTGTCTCCAATATTTACAAAGAGAATAAACTGCCTGGGGCCTCCCTGGTGGCGCAGCGGTTGAGCGCTGGGCTGCGAAGCTGCAGCGCAGGTTCGATCCCCGGCCACCAGCGAGGATCCCACCTGGCGTGCGGACATCTCCTGCCACGCCCATGGCTCCCTTCAGCAGTGTACTTCGTCAGTCTGCCTGTTCTGCTCCCCACTCTGGCTCCGGTGAATTCTCTCACCCTCCCGTGCTTCTGACTGTACACCCAGTGTTTGTATAAATAAATAAATCTTTAAAAAAAAAATTCTGCTTGTGTAACATGTAGTATATTTCGTGTGGCTAATAGTTACCTTATTGTCTTTAGCAAGTAGCTAATGGCTCAGTTCTCAGAGCAAGATCATTAACAGTGTATTTGATACCTATTTCAGAGTCTTAAGTTGTGTTGTTTTGGTTAGCTGTTTGTTAGACTGTTTATAAATCCTCATTGTTTTTGCTAATGTCTCTGGCTCAGAGCTTAAACTAGATGTCAGGAAAGTATCAGGTCTGCTATTGATCATTTTTTACTAATATTTAGTCCATGGTTCTGTTGCCAGGAATATTTTAAAGCCACTGTTGATTTTGAGAGAGTTTAAGAAAAAACAATCTGTAGATCCACTTAATTAGCACACATAAACTGTAATTAATTGTGTCAAAATTAAACCATTCCATGTGCTAAGTATTCTCATGATTTTTTGCCTTTGGTGTACTGTCTTAGACCTTCCCAGCCCCCACCTCATCATATCCTTTGAAATTGCCAGATTAGACAACAGAAAAATCACTTTTTGTGGTGGTGTTTTTTTTTTTAAACTTTGGGTGAGTAACTCAAAAGCTTTTCTATGGTTTCAGTGTCTAGTTCTAGCTCCAACCAGAGAGCTTGCCCAGCAAGTACAGCAGGTGGCTGATGACTATGGCAAGTGTTCTAGATTGAAGAGTACTTGCATTTATGGAGGTGCTCCTAAAGGTCCCCAGATTCGAGACTTGGAAAGAGGTAATTTTTTTAACTTACTGTACAAAAACAGTTTATCTCACTTCGCCGATTTTTATGAACGAAATTTAAAAGTCACGGGTTCCTTATTGGGGGGAATCAGTATTTTAGAAGCTTAGAAATTCTCAGGTGTGGTTAAAATGCTACCTTTGGAAAGTTCACTGGGCTAGAGACAAACTTTGTGACGATTTGATGATTGTACGTAATTGTTTTACATTGTGCTTTTCCACGTGCTGTGTTCGTACAGCTATCGGAACTGACAATTCTGTTTGCTGAAGGTTGGACTATGTATGAGAGATCTAGTTGGCTAGATCTTTGATTTTCTTTTACAGGTGTTGAAATCTGTATAGCTACTCCCGGACGCCTGATAGATTTCCTGGAGTCAGGAAAGACAAACCTTCGTCGGTGTACTTACCTCGTGCTGGATGAGGCTGACAGAATGCTTGATATGGGTTTTGAACCGCAGATCCGTAAAATAGTTGATCAAATCAGGGTGTGTAAAAGCCATTGATACCTCTATGTCCCCATTAGTCTTGTTTCCTTTTCCTAAAAGCGAGCTTTCCTCCTTGTTAGCCTGACAGGCAGACATTGATGTGGAGTGCGACCTGGCCAAAAGAAGTGAGACAGCTGGCAGAGGACTTCCTTCGTGATTACACCCAGATCAATGTGGGCAACCTGGAGCTGAGTGCCAACCACAACATCCTCCAAATTGTGGATGTCTGCATGGAAAGTGAAAAAGACCACAAGTATGGCACGATTTCGCTTTTTATTTGGATAATACTGATAAATCTTTCCTAGTAATCTCCCAAAATTAAAGTGAGAGAAGCCAGTAGTTTTTTAGACTTTGAAAACATGCGAGCACTGCTAATTTTCCATCTTTGTAGCATTTATAGAACAATGTGGATAGAGGCAAGCATTCTGGATCCTTGAGTTGGAATCCCTGCCTTGATTACCAGCCCGATGGAAAGAAAGTGCTGTAGATCTTTGAGGGATTCAGAGTTGCAGAAATAGCTTCTACTTTCAGTGTACAGGGAGGCATTCTCTGGATGACTCTCTTGGTCCCATTTTCAGGTTGATCCAACTCATGGAGGAAATAATGGCTGAAAAGGAAAATAAAACAATAATATTTGTAGAAACGAAGAGACGCTGTGATGACCTCACTCGGAGGATGCGCAGAGATGGGTGAGTTCAGCACTGTGATAATGAGACCGTCTCAGGTTTCAACGCTCAGTGGGAATTTCTAAATTGGTGTTGTGAATGTTATAAAATATTTCATTAATGCTTACTTTGCATCCTGCTCTTTAAATGGACACAGTCTTCTTTCTATTCATGTAGCCTAACCAGTCTTCACAATTTCATGTGGGAACACTTTTTAAAACTTAGTTTTTCTCTTTTTAAAAGATTTCTAAAATACTGGTCACTTTTTTCCTGACAGTTGGCCAGCTATGTGTATCCATGGAGACAAGAGTCAACCAGAAAGAGATTGGGTGCTTAATGGTGAGTTCAGAACTAAGCAGCGTTCCGTGCTCTGTTTGAGGGATTGGCACACTTCCTTGTAATAGGCAGATGGTAGATATTTTCAGATTTTGCATACTGTGTAGTGGTTTCTGCTGTTGTACAAAAGTGACCGTAGACAATGTGGGGTCTTAAATGGCTGTGTTCCAACGCAACTTTAGGTGAAAAAATAGGCCCTGTGCGAGATTTGACCTGCAGGCCAGACTTGCTTAGTCTTGCTTTAGTTAATTGAATGCTGGGGGCTTTTTGACATCTTCATTCTTGAAAGTCACTAATGCTGGTCCCTTCCAACTTTCTCACAGGTAAACCACTCTTTATTTAATAAGTTCTTGTCTTTATAGATAAGTTCTTCAACCCAGAAGTTCCCCAAACCCTATACTTTCAGAATTTTTATGCAGGCTTTGTCATGTAGGCATGATCATTAATTCAGTCTCCAATCCCTCTCCCTTCTATGGTTAATGGGGGTTGGGATTGAAAGCGTCAAGCTTCTAGTCATGACTTGGCTTTATGGTGACCAGCTCCCAAACAGGAGCTATCTTGGAGCCACATCTGGACCACATGTCACCTCATCAGAATAGACATATTTATCACCCAGGATATCTGGAGATTAAGAATAAATGATTCTTCTGGAACCTGTGTTTACAGGTTTTTAGGAGCTCTGTCAAGAACCTGTGAACAGAGACCAGTACTCATATATACATACATACATACATAAATTTATATTTTATTCCATGGGGGGAAATGAGGTTTTTTTCTTGTGTGTCTTAAACTTACCTCCTACACAAACACACTTTTGGTTTTAATTGTTTGATATGGGAGAGAACTTTGGTATTCTAATTAAGGGGAGGGCCTCTCGGTGGTGTAAGGGGTTGAAGCACCGCACTATTGAAGCAATCCACTGCCTCAGCAGCATGAGTTCGATTCCTGGGCGGCCAGGGAGCAACCCACATGGCGAGGCAGATATCTCCTGTCTTGCCCACTGCTCCCCTCTGCATTGTATTTCAGTCAGTCTGCCTGTTCTCTTCCCACTCGGTCTCTGGTGAATCATCTCACACACACACACATACACACACCCCGCATCTCTGGCCTGCATTCCAGTTCTTGTATGTATAAATAAATAAATCTTTAAAAAAAAAAAATAAGGGGGAAAAATTCTAGCTATGTTAATTTTGTTAGACATTGTCAGATCATTTTAATGGGACTTGATTTTTTGAGTTCGTTATTAGAGCTGACTATTGTCCCCTGCTACAGGTAAGTATAACGAGCATTTTCCAAAGAATTAGTTTCCCTTAAATTTAAAAATTCTTGCATTTTTCGACATTTACCTGAAATTTTTAACACGGTTGGACAGAGATAGCTGGGAATGTTTAATTTGATCATTTAAGAATTTTTTTTTTTTTTTATAGAGGCATGTTTTATTTATTTATTTATTTATTTGTTCGTACATGCACTGGGTACAGTCAGAAGCGCGGGAGGGTGAGAGAATTCACCAGAGCCAGAGCGGGGAGCAGAGCAGGCAGAAGGACCGAAGTACACTGCTGAGGGGAGCAGCGGGCGGCAGGAGAGGTCTGCACGCCATGTGGGACCCTCCTCCGGTGGCCGGGGAGCAGCCGGGAATTGAACCGGCGCCGCAGAGGCAGCGGGCAGCCTCGCAACCCAGCGCTCAACCGCTGCGCCACCGGGGAGGCCCGATCATTTAAGAAATTTAATTGGTTAGCCTTAATTGTATAATTTGACTTTTAGGATGCTATTTCTTGTTTTGCAGAGTTTCGTTCTGGAAAGGCTCCCATCCTCATTGCCACAGATGTAGCCTCCCGTGGGCTAGGTTTGTATAGATAGGTGTCTCTGTCAATGGTATATGTATCTTTTGGTTTAAAGATTGTTTGTCATTTCAAATTAGAGTTGTATATACGTGTGTTTAGATAAATACTTAAAGAAAGAATACAAAGCGTGATTTTTCCCCCCCCACAATTTTTTTTAACCTTGGTGTTTTTTTTTTGTTGTTGTTGTTGTTTTTGTTTTTTTGTTTTTCTTTTATTTTCAAAGTCTCTTCGTGCTCCTAACAAACAGGCTTTGGTCTGCAGCAAGGCCTAGGCATGACTATTTAAACAGAGGGAGAGGAGACATTCAGTTAAACATCTCACCTTCTTCCTGATTTTATGCTATCTCTGGTTGGGTAGAATGAAACCGATTGAACCTAGCTACTAGAAGCTAGTTTCTTCAGTTACTCTTTTCCTTGTACCAGTCTCTATGCTAGATATACATATAGGGGTCCAGGTCTATGAATGCTCACCTATAAATTTCTGGGATATAATAAGTATAAATACTGTTATGCAGCCATAAAGTATGCATCGCCCAGTTTTATTTACTGACGTAAAATTGTCATGGACTCTAGTTCCTCCTCTCACCCGAACGAACACGTTGCTAATGCGCTGCCTTCTGATTTAAGAACTAAGTGTATAGCTGCTGTTCTTTTGGAGTTTTCCCGTCCATTGTGATGTGAGAGATTTTGTGGTAGCTTTAGCCTGTTACTGAGCTAAACAAGTGTAACTCAAACCTTCTGTGTTAAAAGAGATGGGATTATTTCTCTTGCAAAGAAATCTCTAAATTATCAACAGGTATTTGATTCTTACCTGGTAAGGTGAGAGGTACCATATTCCCTTATAGTATTTAACATCAAATGAAAAAGTATTCAAATTGGAATACAAAAGTAATGGAGGCTTTTTTATACATTGCACTCATCATTCCTTCCTTCAGAGGTGGTGACCTGCAGCCATGACTGAACAGTCTCTACCCTCTGAGGTCATGTCTGGATCTGTGCAGTTAGAACTTGGGCCTGTTGGGAGAAGAGGCTGAGGCCTGAAAGCAGTTTATATAAAAAAGCTTTCAGTGATGGTGGTTTTTAAACAGGCTTGCTATGTGCTGGTAGCTTCTTTGTGCATCTTGCCTAGACAATTAAAAATATTTGTTCCATGTCCCTCTGCATTTATAAACCAAATCAATTGGCTACCATTAGAATGACTTAGACTCTTCGTCCTGCCCCCACTCATCTGAGTGAGGGGAGAGGGAAGGTACCTGAGTCTGTTTCTTGTTACTCAACATCAGTGCTTGTTTTGGGCCCCTTTGTTTGCTGCCTTGTAAAAATCAAACGGAGGGGGAAAACCCACCAAAATGGCAGAATGCTGACCAAGGTCCTACAAGATCCTGGAAAGTGAAGGCTTCTACCTCATAGACAGGGGTGCAATTTTCAGCTGAGTCACCAGGCCTTTTTTCACTTCCTGTCCAGCGATGGCCTCTTAAATGTTCCCTTCAGGTAAGTTCTTTGATTCCCATAATTTGCTAATAGTCATCCTCAGGAAAACCACTATCTAGTCCCTCTCCATTGGGATATTTTTTTATTTTTCCTTTTTTTGTTTAAACTACACACTGTTAAACTAAAAGTATTGAATTTATTTTGTTTTGTTTTTTAACAGAAGCTTTGATATCAGCTGCAGATCACTCAATACATGGCTGAGGCATATCTACATTGGCCCGAAGCAGCTCTAGATGAGCCTATTGGCTATTCTCAGTCCCTCCCAATTAGTGATTGGAGAGTCAGGCCATGTCATAGGCTTTTCAGACAAAAAGTTCTTATCCTAGGCAGCTGACCTAAAACATTAACTTTTCAACTTCTTACCCTGCTACAGCATCTTCTCTAAAGACAGCAAGATAATATTGTGGCAGTGCACAAATAACACCAGAGCAGGCCTGACTGGAGAAAACCAGATTCTGCGCTTGCTCTTATGTGCCCTCAGCCAGCTGTGTGTGCGCACACACAGGACACCTTTCTAGTCTGAAGAACTGGCACCATGTCTGCCCCCCCTATTGAGCCCTCCAGAAATACTTCCAAGTATTAATAACTCAACTGTTGACTCCAGTACCCAATGCTTTCTGCCAGGAAGGCTCACCTCTATGCCTCCAGGGCAGTAGCTCGACTTGCTCTGCTGCCCATGCTTGTGTGTAATGGGACTGACTAAGGAGCATTCTCCTAGCTCTGAAGATGCATCCTGGAGCATAATTTCCCACCCCCCACCCTCCCCATCTCACACCCACCCTGGCCCTGTAAATTTTTGTTTTTCCTTTGTTGCATCAACGACCCTAGCCTGAGACTCACGCTGCCCCCTGTGATAACTGCCTTCTCGTCTTTCTGGTGTGATTTCAGGACTTTAGGGGTCAGTAAAGACTGAGGAGCCGTTACTGTAATAAGAAACAGACATAACGCCCCTTTCTTCCCAGGCCCTTTAACAACAGCTGAATTTTTTTTTTTTTTTTTTTAATCATCTTCCCCTTCCCCCCTGAAATTAATCCAGTCTGGGCAATAGATGCAGTCTGACCCTTTGGATGTAACTTACATTTTTAATTATTTTTTTCTACAATCACCCCAATTATCCTTGGGGGAGGCGTTGGAGGACCTGAAATTTTTACCCGAACCCAGGTTCTCCGGCGCTTGGCAACCAAATGGGGCTACAGAGAAGCATCTAAGCCAGTTCACAGAGCGAGCGTGTGTGGGGACTTCTCACTGCCACGGACCCTTGATGCATGCTCCCCGCGCTCCAGTGGTCCCGTGTCAGAAGGCGGAGTTTTCGAAAGGAGGCCGCCAAAAATAAAAGGCAAAGAGACGGGATCGGCTGCAGCGGTTTCCCAAAGGAGGAGGGAGTGTGCATCGGTCTGGTAACAAACAGAGAATGTTTTTTAATTATTTATATCACAAAAATCTGTGTTTTATCTAGGATATTTTCTGAATATTCTTTGTAAAATGCAGATTTTTTTTCCACAAAACATTAGGATTCTTTGTTATGGTCTTAAATTTGTTTGTTGAAGTAGGTAAAAAACATGGCGCGGGAAGCATTACACTAACATTTACATATTGTAAGCGGCAGGAGGTATGCAACCCGTTTCCAGCAGTGGGCAGAGCACTGAACTTGTGTCTCAGGGTTCATGGTTTTTCCCACACTCTGGCTACTTACTTAATTCCCCAGGCAACAAGCTTTGATAATTGAAGCAAGTATTGAGTCGAAATAACCTTGAGTTGAGCAAAACAGCATTTGGCAGAGCTGGGCTTGGTAGTACAGTGAAATTTTAGTGTAATGTGCTATTGTGGTCATTGAAAGGGGAAAGATAATTTGGATATTTCTGCAAAGGAAACAGGTGTGTACTTTAGCTTTGATCCATTTTATTAACTATAAGAACAAAGTAATGTAAAGATCTATTTTGACTAAGTCTCCTTGAAAATGTAGTAATAATAAAGTGTATGAAGTTTCTTTTTTCATTTTGCTCTGTGACTGGTTTGAAGGTAAGTTTGTTATGTTACTGGTAGATTTTGCCAGGCTTCTCCCAACAGAGTAAAAGTGATTTTGACCTTACAACTTTGTGGTGGTGACACTTTCTTCTACGTTGCAATTTTGAAAAGGATGGAACTGGAATTTGGTGCCACTCCTGCCTGTGCAATGACTCAAACACAGAGGATCAGGCGTTTGGATGGTTAATGGGACTCCCTTAGAATTTCACAGCTGGTTAAGAGGCCGCTTCGGGCTCCTGTCCCCAGAATCACTAATCCTCTTTTACTCTGTTGGGATGAGTCTTTTTTTGTTCCTGTTCAGAGTGGTCACTAACTTAGTCTTCTTTCCTCTTGCTGTCACCTGCATTCGTGCTTCCCACCTGTTGTTGGCATGTCCTTTACCTTCTCTTTCCCTGCCACGTCAACCTACGTGCTGCCTCGTCGTTGGCCTTGAAGATGTGGAGGATGTCAAGTTTGTGATCAACTATGACTATCCAAACAGCTCAGAGGATTATGTGCACCGAATCGGCCGCACAGCTCGTAGCACCAACAAGGGCACCGCCTATACCTTCTTCACCCCAGGGAACCTGAAGCAGGCCAGAGAGCTGATCAAGGTGCTGGAGGAGGCCAACCAGGCTATCAATCCCAAGCTGATGCAGCTGGTGGACCATAGAGGAGGCGGCGGCGGAGGGGGTAAGGGTAAGTCCTGGAGTTTTCCAGGTACTACCAAGGTATCTTTTGTGTTCATTGTGTCTCGTGTGTGTGTGTGTTGTTTAATCCTGTGAGGCTTTAAATAGTAAAGCTCAGTGCTGCATCTTTGTGTAGCCACCTTAAGGAAGACGTGAGGCTGGGGCCTTTCCCGACTGCCCCTCTTTGCAGCACCATGTTTCTGTCTTTGGTAATACAAAGCTGACCTTCATTTTTTGAAACATGGTGCATGTTCAAAAGTAAGCTCGAATTACAGTTGCTTTTAATACCTTCGAAAGCCTTAGTGTGGGAGCGTTTTCAGTTTTCCATATGAAGAGATCAGTCATTTTATATGCTTTACGATAAAAACCAGCAAAGCTGTTGGATCTGGAAATTGGACATTTGGAAAGTACACTAGGATCTAGGCTTTTTAAAGTAGGTTTGGAACTGAGGTGGGAACCTGGACTTGTCCCTAAGCCACGGGAGAGCCGTGTTACGGTCAGGCCCCAGGCACCCCTTGTGGGCCCTACACTGGCACTCCTCATTGGCGGCCACCATCCCTGCCTAGCTTTTTTTAACTCTGGTAAGTCACCTAAATCTTTTCACCGTTGTTTCTGCGTGGTTTAAAGAGTGTGCTTCTTGCTAGTTCTGAAGTAAAGAGCGGTCCTAAACGGCTGAAAGGATGCATATCCTTTTGCTGTTTATCATTCTTTTGAATACATCCTGTTAAAGAATCAAACTTTTTTTAAAGTACCAATTTTTAAAGCATCATGACCTGGCAGAACCAAGGGAGAACAAAATACTTTTGTGCCTAGTAGAGTTTTTTTTATCACCCTCCCCTTAGAGTATTTCATTGCTTACCAGGAGAGACTATTTCTCACCCTGACCGCTCACACTTCATAGTTCAGGAACACAAGACAGTGATGAACTCCCTGGGCGTCAACCCAGACTGTTCCAAAATCACTTCACACGCTGAATAATGCCAGCCTTCCTCAGGTTATGAGCCAAATTGTGTAGAAGTCTGTGTGCCTTCTTTCTTGAATCAGCCACAGCAAACTTACCAGAACACTGCCACACCTGGGGCCACGGTGAATCATCCAACAATGTGAAATTGCAGGTGCCCAACCAGAAGGCCTGGCCACTGAGGTTTCATCAAAGCACTGCATCCATGAGGGTCATTCTCAGCACTGACTGCTTTCTAGACTCCCTAGTAGTGTTTTTACATGTGGTTGGTTATGTTTGGCTCTTGTATCTGGCATTTAAAATTCCTTATGTGCTCCCATCAGGAGGTCGTTCTCGATACCGGACCACTTCTTCAGCAAATAATCCCAACCTGATGTATCAGGATGAGTGTGACCGGAGGCTTCGAGGAGTCAAGGATGGTGGTCGGAGAGACTCTGCAAGCTATCGGGATCGTGGTGAAACCGATAGAGCCAGTTATGCTAATGGCAGTGGCTATGGAAGTCCCAATTCCACCTTTGGAGCGCAAGCAGGCCAATACACCTATGGTCAAGGCACCTATGGGGCAGCTGCTTACGGCACCAGTGGCTACACAGCCCAAGAATACGGTGCCGGCACCTACGGGGCTAGTAGCACCACCGCAACGGGGAGAAGTTCACAGAGCTCTAGCCAGCAGTTCAGTGGGCTCGGCCGCTCTGGGCAGCAGCCACAGCCGCTGATGTCCCAGCAGTTTGCGCAGCCTCCCGGAGCTACCAATATGATAGGTTACATGGGGCAGACTGCCTACCAGTACCCCCCTCCCCCGCCTCCCCCCCCTCCCTCACGTAAATGAGGCCACTCCCGTGGTGACTTCGCAGACTTAACTGCATTGAAAGGAACTCTGTCTTTCCCCTTTTTTCTCTTCCCCTCTTTTTTCTTTTTTATTTCCCCCCCAACCATTGTGATTGTCTTTCACGCAGATTAGTTAGAATTCACTGCCAGGTTTCTTCTGCCTGCCAAAATGATCCATTCTGTCACAGATTTTGTAAAAATTACATACACTTATATATATGTGTGTGTGTATGTGTGTGTGTAGATGTGCACGCACATACAAATAGACATATATGTGTATATATATATAGTCGACTGGAAGAAATTTTTCCCCAACTTCTTGCATGTTGAGGATATCTGAGCTATTTTTCATCTTAAAAGAAAAAGTAAGGTATTAGGCCCTGTGTGGGAGCCCATTTTTTTGTTGCTGTCCTGAGTTGGGGGGGTGGGGAAGGTCAGTAGGTTGAAATCTGCAGAAGATGGCAGCATCTGTGCTTTCAAGTATTCTCACTGCTGGGTTAGAAAACTTACGAGGGTGTTCCCGTTCCATTCCCGTAATGCTTTTTAATGTTTCTCATGCTGGAGCAGAGTTCCTCAGGCCCGATGAGTTTTTAAGACAGTGCTTTGCCATTGTCATTCTGGCTGATTACTTGTTAAATGCTTTTCACAATTTTTTTTTTTTTTTAATTCTTAATTGGTTTTGTCTCCCTTACAGTCTGCCTTTCCTAGTTACTGAAAATAACCATTTAGTGTCAGATTAGAAATTGAATTGCTGAGTCTGAGTTTTGAAACTACCTTTTAAATTAAAAACTCCAAATGTTCATTGCAAAGATTAAATGTAGCATCTCGGCATCTGGGTGGAAACTGCCTATTTTTCTTCCCTATATAACCAGGGAACGTGAAAATGTGAAGTTCATTTTCTAGCCAGGCAGCTGCTGTGAGCAGAATCGGTATAAATGCTCACTGGAAATTTACTTTATTAACCAGTTAAGTATGTGTTCACCTGCGGTATAAAAACCACCTCTAATTATAAACAGTATACTCTGGACAAGTTTTCTTTTTAAACTCAGTATATAGAGAAGCTAGAATAAAAGCAGTTCTTTGCCAGCTACTCAGCCCTTTGGCCAAGTTATCTTGAATAAATAATCTTAAGGTTTCTTAAGAAAGAACTCTTACTCTTCATACTCTGGTCTTTGCAGTGCTTTATAACAGCTTTTGGGTGCAAATTTTCCTCGGCATCCTTTTGCAGTCAGCTTTTTACAGGTAGGTAGTGCTTAAAAAGTTACCGAGGATTAAAGCCCAGGTCCTTTTCTTTTTCCTCCATCTAAAGGTAGGTGAGTTTGTCCCCTTCGTGGCGATACTGGCTTCCGAGGCAGACTGTAGCAGGTGGGCCTGGGAAGGGTTCTGTCTCATCGCCAGGAGAGGCTAGGGAGGTCACAGCCCCCAAAACCTCTCTGCGTCCTGTGTGGGGCTGCCTTCTTCCTTCGTGTTGTCACCAGTATTGTTCGCTCACAACGTAAAGAGGCAAGGTGCCCCTTGGGCTGAGGCCTGAGAGTGCTTTCTGGTTTGTAAGGTCTAAATACTTGAGGGTTTTGGTCTTTCCTTTTGAAGTTCTTCAGGGGTCTGAAAGTATGGTTGAATGTGCCACATACAGGTAGGTTGTCAGCACGCGCAGAAATTTGTGCTTGTAAAACTTCGACATCTTTTTCCCCTTCTGCTTTCTTTTTTCTCATTTCCCCCTTTCTACAGACACTGAGGCTGAGGGAGGATGGTCGGCACAGGCAGAACTGTTCTGTGCCCTCAAACCAAAGTATCCCTCCTCCCCCCACCTGTCCAGGCACGACTGTGCATCGTGAACATTTCTTCCTACATCAAAATTCTGGGGTTTTTTGTTTTATTTAAACCAAAGGGGGTGTCCTCCTCTCTTGCAGGTCTTCAAAGCATCCCTTTGGGGTCTCTGGGCAAGCAGGGGCCTCTGGCCTGCCGCTTGCTTCCCTTTTCTCCCTCGGGGAGGCTGTGGTTATAAAATCAGAACAATAGCAAATCCTAAATGGCAGAAGCTATTGTGGACTGAACACAGCTGAAATCTAGTAGTTTCCTGTGTTGCTTTCTAGCGTAGCTTCCTGCCTCCATGTCTCACACTCACAATTGAGGCCCTGCCTTCGCTTCAGACCTTGAAGAGTCCTATTTGATGCTAATTATTTGCAGTCATGATTGAAACTCACTTAGGGAAAGGATTCCAATGTCAGGCTGTGGGGCTGTTGCTCCCCAGCCCCTCCCTAGCCGTGCATGTGGACTTCTCTCGTCTGAAAGGTTGGTGGCTCTCGCTCGGGGTCAGTGCTCTCTGTCATGTCCTGGCTGGTCTCTGAACACATTCCTGTTGCGTTAAGACTTGAAAGATTTGTAGATGTGTGATGTGCAGGCGCAGGATGCTAAGAGCTATGTTACTATTCTCGGTTTGTAAATTGTCCTTTTGATACCATCTTGTTTTCTTTTGTAGGTATAAATAAAACACTGTTGACAATAAGGTGTGAACTTTTTATTGCTTGAAAACAATCTGACTAGTCCAGCAATAGTCCTTTTCCCATTTTTACCTGTGTTAAGACCAAGTTTGGGGGTGTTGGATTGAGTGAGTGCCTTGGCTAGCACCAGAAAATGTGAACGGGGGGTCATTGGTTGTAGTGCAGAAATTTGTCACAAAGCAACAAGCCTCGTAAAGGGCTCGGCTGCGCGTCCTCTAGTAAAACAGCCCTAGCGGTGCCCACCTGGGGGGAGGTGTGTGTGCTGGGCCGCCGTGGCCGTGGTAACGAGGCCTGATCAACTTCTAAGGTGCGCTGGAAGCCGGTCTAGCCAGAGCTTGTAAATTTGGTTTGCCTGTGGCTTCAAGGCAGGTTAGGAGTGAAATAACATCGCGCGCCTGCCAGATAGCACCTTTGTATCGATTCTAACATCGATCTACCGAGAAAATGAAAATTATACCACAGTGTTGTCTGATGCTTGAGCCCTGCTCTTCATTTGGAGCATGAGTCTCACATTGGGACCTGAGGAGCTGTTGGTTGGTTGCTCGTGGGCTAGTACCTGGGGTTTCCGTTAACACTGTGAGGCACCAGAACTAATAATTAGCCCAGACTAGGCTTCCTCTGCGGAAGCCGGTGCACAGCCTGGCTGACGTCCGCACTGCGCATTCTCCTGGTGTTTCACTGTAGCATCTGGCTGGAGCCCTGCATGGAGTTGCCCGGGAAAAGAAATGGTTTGCCCCAAGTCCTGGCTGAGGTGTAGAGCATCCGAGGGTCCTCAAATTGGCATCGGAAGGCTTAACTTCTTTCCTTTGAGGACTGGAAGGAAATGGACATGAAATGAGTTCACCCTACTCCTTGATGGGACGGCTTGGCCCCTTGCTTCTAGTGCCCAGATCACGACGGGATTTCAGATGTCAAAGGGGGACCTTAGCAGGTCAAGGACAGACACCCCACCTTGGTTACAGGCTGTGCATTCAGCATCGGCCTCCATTCCTCCACTAGCCACGCCGCCCCCAGTTCCTCCTGACTGTCCATGTCCCTGTTTGCATGGATGACCTCGCTGAACAGTTTGGCAGGGAGCTGCTTCCACAGCTTCACCCCACGTAGCAGCCAGTGGGGTGGTTTTGTAGATGACCCCTCTGGTAGCTGCCCTGTCTACCCGAGTGCAGTGCAAACCCTTCAGGCTGGTGAAGGCTGACGTGACTGCTGGGCCCTGACACCATCAGGTTTACACGTCTGACCACACTAGCCTTTTTGTCCTTGATCACAGCAAGCTGGTTCCAGCTTTAGAGACTGCAGAAGCTGTTTTCCCTAGAGTGTGCTACATTTTCCTAAGCAAGCATGTCAGACGTCTTCTCTGCACGGCGTGTGCGTAATACATAGACGCTATATTCATGGCACTTCCTCAGTGCCATTACAACCTAACTGGTAACTCCCTAGCCCAGTGCAGCAACACCTCTCCCAGCACCTACCTTTGGTCACATACAGGTAAAAGAAGTCACAGTAGAAGATGGTTTGTACTACCCCAGACACCACTGCGATCTGGTCATAGAAATTCTCGGTCTGGTACCGCCTGATCCAGTTAGCCAGGTAGAGGGCCCGGTACAGCCCAAGGAAGAACAGGTAGTGAGTCGTGATGGTCTCGGCCTCGCCAGTCTTGCTGATCATGAAGAGCTGGGGCAGGATGGCCACCGACTCCAGGTAGATGGAGAAGGTCCAGAGGATCTGCGTCAGAGAGAAGTGGTCCGAGGAGGCTGGTCAAGACCCAGGAGGGACCATCTCATAAGAGAACTTAATCACCAACATAGTTTATTGGAAAGAATCTAGTGAAGTAAAAAAAAATCCTCAAAATGTTTGGACTATAATCATCCCAGCCCTCTCTAAATACAGAATACTTTTTAAAACAAACATGCTTCCCCCCACAACATAGCAAGAACATTTATATAGAACATAACTTTCAATTGTTGCCAAACATAAACCGGCCTTCACTAAGGCCATGGAGCCAGCATCAGAATCTAATGGGATGCATCTTGCCCCACAGATTCTTAGACCCCAGCCCCAGCCCCACTGAGCCGAAGCCCTCACTGCACTCCGGGTGCGCACATCAGCCAGGTGGGCGGCTCCCCTGAGCCTGGTGAGCCGCTCCGCGGGAGGCAGCGGAGGCGTGTGTAGCGTTTCTACCCGAGTCTCTGCACAGCGTGAAGGATGGTCACGGCATGGAAGGCCAGACCCCGCCGGGGGGCCGGAGGGAGGGAGATTGGGGAGCAGGCTGGGGTCACTCGGTGTCCCTGGCCTTACCTCCAGGGGCGTGAAGTTGTAGTTCTCAAGGAAGGAGAGGCCAATGACTGGGACCAGAAGAAACTCCAGGCGGAAAGTATCGTTCTCACTGTCAAAGGTTTTCCGAAATTTCCCGTAGATCATGTACACGGTGATGTAGGCGCAGAGGAGGAAAACCACCTAGGGGGAGACACGTGGGGCTTGCCGAGTGGCCTCCGGCCTATTGCTGGGCTTCAGGGCGCCCTGGAGTGTGTGTGCAGTGGCTCTGGGGCCCAGCGTGTTAATTTGTTCAGTCACTTTGTGCTGCTAATTGGGCCTGAGAGTGCTACGTGAAGACTGAAACCCGCTGCAGAGCCCTAGGCGATAAACCGGAGTTGGTTTTCAGTGGAGGCGACAGTGGTATTCCAGAGCTTTCACTTAACTGTTTTTTAAATTGCGGTAACGTCTGCACTGAGTGTAATCCAAAGGCATAGGGTCACACCTCAGGTGGGTGTCACCACACCCCACCCCACCCCAGGGCTCTCCAAACCTCCCTCCCTCGTCTGCATCAGGGTCCCGTCACGCGATGGCCGTCTTCTCGCAGGCGGTGACTGGGCCTCTGACCCACGCTGGAGGGTCTCAAACCTGAGTGTGCATCAGAATCACTGGCGGCTGCCCCTTCCCCGTTTCTGATTTAGTAGTGGGCCTGAGAAGCTGCATTTCTGGCAAGTTCCCACATAGTGCCACTGCTGCTGGGTCTTGGGCCACACTGAACTACTTGTACTTCAGGTCAGGTTATCTTCTCAAGGCCTCTTTCACGACAATGAGGCACACGTGCTCTGCCACCGCAGCCCCATGGGGAAAACTCATGGCCACTGTGACCATTTGATAAATGTCCCTGCACCAGTCAGTCTCCTCTGTGAGCAAGGTCCGTGCCCTGTCCACCGCGGAACCCCCCAGCCCCGAAATCACAGCCCAGCACAAACAAGTGCTGGACTGAAGGGGTGAATCAATGAAGAGGACATCACTTCTTCATTTCATAAATGTGGAAACTGGCTTCTTTGAGGTTCTGAGACCCCATTCAGCCATGCGAGGAGCCAGATCTGCAGTCCCTGCCAGCACTGCCCAAGTCAGACCCTTGGGCAGAGACCCGAACTAAGCAGGTGATACTCGCTGTGTATGTCTTGAATTTAAGTAGACAGTGATTGCAGGACCTCAGACTAAAGCCTCCACCGAGTTCAGCGCCCTGTAGGTGACAGCATCCGCCACTCCATGTCTCCTAGGAGCAAGATCCTTCCTGCCCAGAGTGTGGCATGATGGTAGGAGCTTCAGCACCCACTTTGTGTCAGGCAACGCGAGGATAGATCTCACATTCAGGACCAGCTATGTAATTTGTAGAGCGTCTATTAACATTAAGAATGTCAAGAGAGCAACAGTGGAATGTTAAACCAAGGATGGGGACCCTTCTGAGCAGCTGCACAGAGACACACCCGTGAAGCAAGGTCACAGGAGAAATGCAGAGCAGGAGATGGCACCCTGGATCTGGACCGTCCACCTCCAGATTTCATGTTGCAAGGGGGTGAGGAGAGGCTTGTTAAAATAACTCTTTACTGTCTGTGTTACCAGCACTGGTAAGGACTGAATTCTGGGCTCCTTCCACTAAACCAGGTCGCTTTAAAGAGCTGGGATGGGGGCCTCCCCGGTGGCGCAGCGGTTGAGCGCTGGGTTGCGATGCTGCCCGCAGCCTCTGCGGCAGCCGGTTCGATCCCCGGCTGCTCCCCGGTTCGATCCCCGGCTGCTCCCCGGCCGCTCCCCGGCCACCGGAGGAGGGTCCCACATGGCGCGCAGACCTCTCCTGCCACCCGCTGCTCCCCTCAGCAGTGTACCTCGGTCCTTCTGCCTGCTCTGCTCCCCACTCTGGCTCTGGTGAATTCTCTCACCCTCCTGCGCTTCTGACTGTCCCCAGTGCATGTATAAACAAATAAATAAAAATAAATCTTTAAAAAAAAAAAAAGAGCTGGGATGGACAGTTAAAATTCAAAAAAATGCCTTCCCTCCACAGGACCTAGCAGTTACAGCCCAGGGCCCGGGACATGGGAGTAGGAGAGGCGCCCAGTCTCTCCTGCACAACAGGGCCAGGCTTCAAAGCAGCTGCTTCTTACCGCAAAATCAAACCCAAACTGTGAACCTGCCCTATCTGCCTCCCCAGCCTCTGTCAGCAGCTCCCCCCACAGCGGCCCGAGCCTGCTGAGCTCCCACAAGGCTGACCTTCTTCGGCCCGTGCATCGTGGGCACCCAGCTTGTTCCTGTCTGAGGGACTCTGCATCTATTATTCCTCTGCATATGCTCTTCCTCTGCTCTTCACAGGCCGGATCCTCGTGTCACTCATATCTCGGCTTAGCCGTCACCTCACACCTCTCCAGAGAGGCCCTTCCAGAGGACACTCCCTGCAGCAGCCCCTACACCTTCTCTATCACATGACCCTGTCTTTAGAACTATTTTATGATTAAAGGGAAACATCACCTATTTTAATTTTTTTAACATTTCTTTTTTTTTTTTTTTAAGATGTATTTATTTATACAAGCACTGGGGTACAAGCCAGAGGCACGGGAGGGTGAGAGAATTGACCAGAGACAGAGTGGGGAGCAGAACAGGCAGAAGGACCGAAGTACACTGCTGAGGGGAGCAGCGGGCGAGACAGGAGAGGTGTGTGCGCCATGTCAGTTTCTCCCTGGCCGACCGGGAATCGAACCAGCACTGCAGAGGCTGCGGACAGCTTCACAGCGCTGTGCTCAACCCGCTGCGCCACCAGGGAGGCCCGCATCACCTATTTTAATTATTTCATGGCCTGACCCCTAACCCTAACCAAAGCTTTTCTTGCATGTTGGATTAGCTGTCATCCCAATTAGTATGAAGTTTCCAGAACAGGGACCGAGATCTCTAACCGGCACACAGCAGGCGCTCAATAAATAGGCGCTGGGCAGAAGGACAAATCACTTCACCGAAAGCGCAGGTTCGAACGGCAAACCTTCACTGAATGTTTACGGTGGCACCTCCTCTGTTCCCTCACTGCAGCAAAACTCTGATACCAGCTAGAATTCTCTTCATTTTGCAGATGAGGAAACTGAGGTACACAGGGGTCAAAGGCCTTGCTGCGCCCAGGCCCCACGGCTGCTGAGCAGCCTGGCTCCACAGCCTGAGTTCTCAAACTCACTGCCTGGGTTTGGGGGAGCTCGGCAGGCCCCACTGCCATGGTCGCCCCCCCCCCCACTCACCTTCATTACTGTATTGTAGATGGAGATGAAGTTGGTGAACAGGTCCAGGTACCTCGTGGTGAAGACAAGAGCAAACAGGATCTGGCTCTTCCCAGAGATGCCTGTGACCAGAGGGGACAGGCGACAGTGAGACGCGGACACGCAGGCCCACGCGTGCAGCTCACGAGGCCCTGAGCCTGGAGTCAGAAAGGCCTCCGGGGGTCCAGGGCACGTCACCCTGGGTGTTGGAAACACCCTTCCCTCACTCCAGGCCCTGCTGTCTCCTGAGGCCAGAACCGGCCTCCCAGTCTCCCATTCCCGGTGCCCCGGTGTGTGGCTATCTTGGCGCTTGCTCTGGGGAAGGTGTTGGGGTGGGGGACTGATTGTGGGGACAGGTGTTGAGGCCACTCTTTGCTCCACTGAGAGTCCTCACTGAGAGTCCTCAAAGCTCCATCCTTTGGGAAACAACCCTCGGACTTGACAAGGAGCTGATTTGCCAGGGAGCACAGTGCAGGTGAAGGGAGGTAGGCCCGGGGAACATTCTGGAGGGGCTGGGGGCACGTACCAGCTTCCTGCCTGCAGGGCAGTCTGAGCCTCATACTCCCCATCTACAAAATGGGACCCCCCCCCCCAGACGGAGAGACAGGAGACATAAGTGCCTCCTGGAGGCCCTCCTGGCACTCTGAGGGATGAGGGTTGCAGTGGGGCCGGCTGTGGTGAGGAGCCTGTGGGGGGCAGGACTGACCCAGTGCCAGTTCTGGGCTAGGCCTGTGTCAGGACAACCTACTTGAGACCTCAGCCCCATTGAGGAGGCTCCAGGAGGCAGCCCTGCTGCTCTCTCCAGGCTCGGCCCGGCAGCTCCTCTACTCACACTTTCCTTAGCACTTGGACGGTTTCCACGTTCTTGAAAGCAACGAATAATTCCCACCAAAGCAAGTCAGCCATGAAGGTCAGGACAGAGAAGGCCTGAGCCGGATCCTCACCAGATCCCCGAGGAGTCCCAGGCACTTGGGGCCCACCGACCAGGTGCAGCCCTCACTCCTACCTGACAGGTGGGGAAACTGAGACCCAGGGCACCACAGCAAGTCAGTGATGGAGGTCACAGCAGGTTCTGTTCCTCGGGGCCGCCAGGCTAGCACCCCCTCTGGTCCCTCGACTCCTCAGATCTTAGCAGACCTGTGCTGTTCCCTCCTGCTTTAGGTCCCCTTCCGAGCCCCCTCCCTGGCTCCCACACTTTGCAGGGCACCCCAGGCCCAACTCTCTGGCCTGCCAGACAAGGCCCATTCACCACTGGACCCCACCCCCTGGCCCCCGCCCAGGCCAGACTCCAGACTCATCTTCCATAGCGTCACCCTCAGACTGCGCTGCTCACCCCTCCCTCCGTCACCTCTGGGCTTTGCACCCCCGTGTCCCCCACATAGCACACCCTTTCTGGGTGACCCCTTCAGGGGTCCACTCTGCCCCTTGGCTCCCAGGAGGCGCCTGCGTGCATGTCTGGAGTCCCATGCCCCACACACGGTGGGCACCTCCGGGACACCAGCCGACAGAGCCACTGCAGGAGGCTGGGGCGGCCTCACTCCCACTTGGTGTGTCTGGCTGCCGCCAGGCCAGCCCAGAAACTTCTCCACCCCCGGGCAAGGCAGTCAAGAGTACTGGACAAAGGGGGGACCCCTCTCTGCTCCTTAGGCCTCTGTTCACCTGGCCAGGCCTGTGTCCCTTCTGGCGTGTCACAGCAGCCTCTGCCAGGTGCAGGCAGCAGGAGGAAGCTGGCCCAGCTTTCTGGGGTAGGGGGGACCTCTGGGAGGGAGCAGGGGAGAGTGGGGCAGGGAGGGAAGACCCTGAGAGCTGGGCACGCTTCCTGTGTGCCACCCTCACCACCACCTCCCACTCCCACCCTGGGCCCCGGCGCAGGCGCAGGGGACAGCCCTGGGGCCTCAAGGGAGTGCTGGCCCAGGGGAGCCGAGGGAGGGAGGGGTGTCACTTCCCCTGTTCCTGTCCTCTCCCAGCGAGCAGGGGCCGAGGGGATGGGGGAGATGGAGGCACAAGCCCACCCTCCTTCCACAGCCCCCGGGGCCTCTTTCTTTGATATTGTGCGGTTTGACGCTTTCTTCCAAAGAGTTGTGCAAAAAGTGTCAGGTCCCCCGAGCCGAGGGCCCCACCCAGAACATCCAGGCGCACCCTCTGCCCCAGCCCTGCAGGCTTGGCCCCGGGGCCACGGCGAGGTGGGCCCGCGGCGAGGCCCGCGGCGAGGTGACCCAGGCCCGCGGCGAGGTGGCCCAGGCCCGCGGGCCCCTCGCCTCCCGCGGGCGCCCCTCACCGGCGCAGCACTTGGACCTCCAGATCTTCCCCAGGAGCAGGATCATGGCCAGGAGGTGGCTCAGGTCGCCCAGGATCCGGAACACGTTCATGGTGCGGCCGGCGCCGGCGCCCGCGCGGCCAACTCCGGGGAACTCGGCGGCGGCCGAAGCGGCTGCCACGTCTCCGCGGCTCTGGGTCCCGCGCTCCGCCCGGCGCCCGCCCGCGCCCTCCCGGCCGGTGACGTGGCCAGGCCGGCCGCGGGGAGCCAGGAAGCGCCGCGCCCAGAGCCCGCCCCCGGCCCCCGCCCGGGCCCCTCCCGGCCGGCCCCCGCCCCCCCGCGCCCCTCCCCCCACCCCCTCCGTGCCCCCCGACCCCCCTCCCGCCCCGGCCCGGCCCGGGTCGGAGCTCCTGGAAAGCTGGGGGGGCTTCGGCGGGAGGGGGGAGCCGCCCGCCCCTCCCTCCGGCGTCTAGGGCCCCCCAAGGCCCCTCCCCACCCCGAACGGGTCCTGGGCAAAACCCTGGGCCCCCCTGCCACCTCTGGACACGGGCTGGAGACACTGGCGTCGGGGCCAAGTGGGGCTGGAGGGCGGTGCTGGGGGAACCTAGCCGGCTGGAAGCACCCCGTGAACGGGACCCGCCGCTGTTGTCTGTCGTGGGGCTTGAGCCCCTCCTTCTGGGGAAGGGGAGGGTGGGGCGAGGAGAGGAGCTGGCGCGGATTCCTCCTCCCTCTCAACTGTTAACTCGGGGTGTTACCTTGTCCCCACCTGACCCGGCTCAGGTGGACAGGTAGCCGGGTTTGGGGGCGCAGGTCCTGATTCCCACCAGGGCCCCAGCGCCTTCCTCTCTTGGCGCGGTTGTCTCTTCCATCAAATGGGCTCCTGAGGGTGTGAAAGCAGCCACCCTGGAGGACCCCGGCCCTCGCTGGCCTCCCTCTTCCTGGTAGGACTAGCGGGCACAGAGCAGCACAGCCAGAGGGACGCTGGGGGTGCAGGGTGTGGGCAGCGGGCTGGATGCGGGAGGGGTGAAGGACCCCCTGGGGAGCCGCCCTGTGCTGTGTGGCTTAAGCAGCTCGGCCATCCTCTCTGGGCCCTGGTCTCTGCGTCTGCGGGTGCCGTCAGCCCAGGGCCCTCCCCACCACCCGGCCCGGGCCCCACACAGGCTCCTCACCTGGCCCTGAACTGGGGCCTCCTCCCGCTCCCTGCGCAGTCAGAGGCTTTCCCGTGATGAACTCTGTGCCTCCCTTATCTGTGAGCCTCAGCCCCCTCATCGTGACGCTGAGGGCAGGACAGTACTTTGAGATTCAAGTACTCTGAGGCCCAAGGGCTAGCGGCCTCTGTACCGCCTGCTGGGAATGCAGACTCTCAGGCCAGCCCTGGGCCTGCAGAATCGGAATCTGCACTTGAACTAGGCCCCAGGGACTTGTGTGCCTGTGGGAGTTTGAGGGGCATTAATCTAAACACCTCTACGAGGGAGGTACTATCATTGGTCCCACTTTACAAAGGGGAAGCTGAAGCACAGAGTGGTTAAGTAACTTGCCCAAGGTCACACAGCCATTAAGTAGTAGAGCCTGGCTTCCAACACACGCTCTGACTCTAGACTTTGCTCATGCAGTTAAATCGTCCCCTTACCCTATGGGTTGTCAAGCACGATGACCGGCTCCCGGTTGTGAGAGGTAGGGAGCAGATGGTGGGCACCCATTTGTCAGGGAGGCTGCCGTGGGGACGCCTGTCCTGGCCAGGAGGTTGGGATAAGAATACCCTCAAGTAACAGCCATGGCTGAGTGCCGTGAGGGTTCTCTCTGTTCCTCCTGAATGGGCGCCCTGAGGCAGGCTTTGGGGTGACAGGCTCCTGAGGCTCAGGAAGGTGCGATGTGCTGGATTCGCTGTGCGAGGAGAGCCAGGCCCTGGGCAGCTTCTGAATGGGCCCCTTGTTTGTTCCCTGCTCCCCCCACAACCCCGCCCAGACGCCTCCCCCCCAGCCCGTGCCCAGAGAAGGCAGTGGCTATTTAAATCCCTCAGGTATGGCTGCGGTTCTCTCTGCCCCACCAGCTGGCATCTCCTGCTCCGCGCCCACCTTCTCCCCAAGCCAGGGAAAAGCACGTGCATTTGCCATTTGGTGAAACATCTGTCTCCTGGGAAGCAGCCCCAGCTGCCAGCAGGGGTGGGACAAGGCTGCCATCTCCTCTTCCTCTCCCAGGGGCCCTGACCTGGGCCGGGGAGGCCTGTGGAGGGGACACCACCAGGCTGGGTGACCTCAGGGCCAAGACCTCGGCCTGCACCTGCCTACTTGTCCCCCTCAGACCTCAACTTTCCCGTCAGTTAAATGGGAACAATGAAGACAGAAGTACTTGGTCCTGTGCACAGGTGCTCCCCCCAGTCACCCTGTGAAACTGATATCCCCTGTATCTCAAGACAGGGAGCTCGTCACCCCCACTTTACAGAAAAGGAGACAAAGACTCAAACTGTCCCTCGTTGCCCCAGGTCCCATAGATGCCCTTCCCCGGAGTCCACCGCTCTCCCCAGGGGGAAGAGGGAAAACCTCTCACTCATTTAAAACCCTTGGCTCTGACCTCCTGCCCCATCAGACACTATCTGTCCCTGCCACGGGGTGGTTTGGGGCAGCTCCCTGACACCTCACTCCTCACCCCGCTGAGCCTCCCCTTCCTGATACTCACAAAGTGTCTGCTCTAGGAACACAAGGAATGGGAGCCATGAGGGCAATTTCCTTAGGCTCAAAGGTCAAGGATGCTTTCCCCTCTTTAACAAAGCAAAGTGTGTGTTCAGAGTCAGATGTATGGGGGAGTTGCTCAACTATAGGAAAAAAAAGGTGTCTGTGATCCTTCTTCCTTCCTGCTCTGGCCCTTATTACATGTCATCACGGTGTCCGGCATCCTGCAGGCTCCTGGGCCCTGCGTGGGAGGACAGCGTGGCGGGAAAGTGGAAGTCACCATCTGAGGACACCCATCACCTCACTGCCCCCTTGCTGGCCTGGGAGGATGGACGCTCCTGGCTGAAGGAAGGAAGGAAGGAAGGAAGGCTTCCCAGTAGCCCCGAGGGCCCACCCAGCCCGGAAGTGGCGGCAGAGACCTTCCCGCCTCTGCAGGGCTTGGGCAGAGGGCAGTCTTTTCCTGCCCGCGGTTCTGTTCCAGGGGCTGGAGAAGCTCCTTGCCCCACCTCTGCAGTATCTTTTGAGTGACAGCAGCAGGCACAGTGGAGGACTCCATTTCACAGAGTGGGAAACCAAGGTTCCAAACCCCTCCTCTGCTTTCAATCCGAGCACATTTCTTTCTTTTTTTAATTTTTATTTTTGCATATAAGAACTGGGGTGTAGGGCCTCCCCGGTGGTGCAGCGGTTGAGCGCTGGGTTGGGAAGCTGCCCGCAGCCTCTGCAGCGCTGGTTCGATCCCCGGCCGCAGGGCGAGGGTCCCACATGGCGCACAGACCTCTCCTGCCGCCCGCTGCTCCCCTCAGCAGTGTACTTCGGTCCTTCTGCCTGCTCTGCTCCCCGCTCTGGCTCTGGTGAATTCTCTCACCCTCCCGCACTTCTGACTGTACCCAGTGCTTGTATAAATAAATAAATATTTAAAAAGAACTGGGGTGTAGGCCAGAGGTGCAGGGGGTAAGAGGATTCACCAGAGACAGAGTGGGGGAGAGCAGGCGGATCTACTGAAATACACTGCTGAGGGGAGCAGCAGGGAGACGAGAGGTCTGCTGCGCCATGTGGGTCAGCTCCCTGGCCAGGGATGGAACTCAGACCTCCATGGTGATAGCGCTGAGACTCAACCCCTAGGCCACCAGGGAGGCCCCGAAGTACATTTCTTTTTTTTTTTTTTTTTACTCTTTTTTTTTTAATAGAGGCATGTTTTATTTATTTATTTATTTGTTTGTTTGTTTGTTTTGTTTATACATGCACTGGGTACAGTCAGAAGCGCGGGAGGCTGAGAGAATTCACCAGAGCCAGAGCAGGGAGCAGAGCAGGCAGAAGGACCGAAGTACACTGCTGAGGGGAGCAGCGGGCGGCAGGAGAGGTCTGCGCGCCATGTGGGACCCTCCTCCTGTGGCCGGGGAGCAGCTGGGGATCAAACCGGCGCTGCAGAGGCCGCGGGCAGCTTCGCAACCCAGCGCTCAACCGCTGCGCCACCGGGGAGGCCCCGAAGTACATTTCTTAACCACCAGTTGTGCACCACACATCTTGCAGATTGAACTTGGACACAACCTTGAGGAATCCTGGGGCACCGAGGGAAGTGATGCCTGCTCCTGGTTGAATGTGGTGCAGAGAAGGGCGCTTGCCTTAGCTTGGGGGGAGTGCTGAGGGAGAATCGCAGTTAGGAAGGCTTCAAAGTCTGCCCTGATGGGTTTTGCAGGATGAGTAGGAGCTTTCCTCAAAAACAAAACCTGGGGGAGGAGAGTAGAATCCCATGTAGGAGGAGTTATGAGTGCAAAGGTCAGAAATACCACCCAACACTCTCCCAGCACTTTCTTTGCACGGGTCTTGGGGGACTGGGTGGGCCCCTGGGGCTACTCTAAGAAAGGCCAATGAAAGGAAGAGAGGTTGGGGGGAAGCAAATGGACGAGTGTCCAGGTTAGGCAGATCTTTGTTCCAAGTCTCAGGGTCCGCCAACTACCGGCTCTCCGAATTTAGGCAGTTTATTTCATCTCTCCTGGAGTAGTATTTTCCTCAGTAAGCTGGAGAGAACCCCAGTACTGCCTTTCTAGGGTAGCTGTGGCGGTCAAACCTAGCAAGGCCTCTAAAGCGCTTTGCAAGGAGTAAACCACGCCACAGAGGCCACTTGCTTGCGCCCCTGCGGAGAACAAAGCGTGTCCAGCAAAGCAGAGCCGGGAGCAGACACAACACGGGAGCCCTGCGCGCTCAGAAGCCGCCGCCTCCTTGGGGGTTTATTCCCGGAGAAGTGCAAAAAAGACAATTAAAAATAACCTCGCGGCCGCGGGGGGCCTTCTGGGGTGCTGGCAGGGTGCTGCGTCTTGATCCCAGCGGTGGCTGCACGGGTTTTAGAAACATGTGAAAATTCACGCGTTGTGCTCTGCAGACGCGCACCTTACTCTGCGAACGCCACCTCAAGATGAGAAGCGTCCTAAGCCCGCCCGACGCCCCCTCCCCTCGCGGCGGGCGCCTGGCAGTAGCGCCCACCGCTGCTCCCGGCACGCGGCGCGGGCACCCAGCGCCCAGCGTCCAACGCCCAGCGCCCTGCGCCCAGCACCCAGCGCCCAGCACCCTGCGCCCAGCACCCTGCGCCCAGCACCCTGCGCCCTGCGCCCAGCACCCTGCGCCCAGCGCCCAGCACCCTGCGCCCAGCACCCTGCACCCTGCGCCCAGCACCCTGCGCCCAGCACCCTGCACCCTGCGCCCAGCACCCTGCGCCCAGCGCCCAGCACCCTGCGCCCAGCACCCTGCGCCCAGCACCCAGCGCCCAGCGCCCAGCACCCTGCGCCCAGCACCCTGCACCCAGCGCCCAGCGCCCAGCACCCTGCGCCCAGCGCCCAGCACCCTGCGCCCAGCACCCTGCGCCCAGCACCCTGCACCCAGCGCCCAGCAGCCTGCGCCCAGCGCCCAGCACCCTGCACCCAGCACCCTGCGCCCAGCGCCCAGCACCCTGCGCCCAGCACCCTGCGCCCAGCGCCCAGCACCCTGCGCCCAGCACCCTGCGCCCAGCACCCTGCGCCCAGCGCCCAGCACCCTGCGCCCAGCACCCTGCGCCCAGCGCCCAGCACCCTGCGCCCAGCACCCTGCGCCGGAGTCGTGCGCGGGGCGCAGGCGAGGTTCCCACGGCAACCGCGAGCCGCTCTCCGCGTCCCCCGAGTGACGAGGCGCGAGCGAAGACCCGGAACCGGATGGCGAACCGGAGCCACGCGGCGAGGCGGGCCGAACCCGCGGCGGGCCGGGTGCGGGCGCGAGTCCGCGCGCGGCGTCCTTGTGCCGGCGCTCGAGGGCGCCCGCGCCGCCGCGCCTGCCTGGGCGCAGGCCGAGCGGGCAGTCGCCGGGCGCTCCGCGAGGGCCGCGGGGCTGGGCTGCTGCCGCCGTGGCGGGGCCAGGCGGGGATGCACCCAGCGCTGCGCCCGGCCTCCTTCCCCCGCGGGCAGGGCCGGGCGCGGGCGCGCTGGTGACTTCTGTGTGGTCGCAAGTCCCCTCAAGCCCCCTCTCCGGCCGCACCCCCTGGGGGGCACCCCCACCCCTGCCTCGGGTCGCCGCACAGGCACGTGGAGTAACCCTGAACCCGGGCCCGATACACTGTCAAGGGCTGTGCCCGGCCAAGGGCCAGCAGTGTCGCCACCCTGTTGCTCCTCGTCCGCACCAGCACCCCCGGCCCCACCGCAGCCCTGGTGACGCCCACACAGGGACCCTGGGGCTCAGAACTTTCCAGACCCAGAGGTTTCCAGTCTGCAGGTGAGAGCTTCCTCCCCCACCCACCCACCGAATCACCCCGTCCAGGCAAGGCCCCCGGAACATCGGCTTAGAGGGTGCACAGGCACAGCACCCTCACCCGCCGCTGTGGTGGCGTGGGGCCCCCTGCTCCACGGCAAGGCTGGCGGCCCGGGTCGCGGGCCCTGGACAGAGACCCTGGGTGGCACACTCCACGCCCTGCGAGCGCCCTGTGTGGCACACTCCACGCCCTGCGAGCGCCCTGTGCTGGGTGTTGGTCGGTTGTGTGTACATTGCACGCGTGAGGGCACGTCTACACCAGGCTGTATGTGTGCGTGTGCTGGGCATGCACACCGCTGTGTGTACTGGGATGCGTGTGTGTCAGTGTGTGCACTGAGGGCCGCGTGGCGGGCGCTGGTGGGCGAGCACCGAGGATCTGGAGCTCAGGCGCTCACCTGGCACCGCTGTCTGCTGGCGCGCTGCCTGCGAGGTGGGCCTCCGTGGCTGGCACGTGTGCTGTGCACCAGTGGACGTGAGAGAGTGTGCTGGGGTCCTGAGTGCGGGGCCCCTTCCCCGCCATGTCCCCTGTATTCCCCCCCCCTCGGTGACCTTCGTCTGCCAGCTGAGGACTGGGCCTCTGCTCGGGCGTGGACGGGCCAGCGCCGGCCCCTCTGCGGACCTGTGGCTGCTCAGATCTTAGTCTCGCCCTGGGCTTTGGCTGGTGCGGGCCCCAGGGGCAAGGGTGGGTGGGTGAACCTGGGGCCAGGGCTCTCGTGTGCCACCCCCTCCCTGCCTGGTCTCCTCCCCTCCCCACAGCAGGAGCAGCAGCGGGAAAGGTTGGCGGAGGGGGCTATTTTGGGAGCGTCTCCTTAGCAACAGCTGCCACGGCCGTCTGTGGCGGTTTTTCTATAGGTGCTAAAATATTCCACCCTGGTGACTACTGAGTGCTGGGGGGTGGGCGAGGGTGGGAGCAGAGGGCGGGACAGACCCCCTCTATTCCCCATCCCCAGGGCCCAGCCTGCTGGGAGGGGTCCTGGCCCTCCGGACTCCACGGCGCCCCTTTCCTCACCTCCAGGCCTCATCCAGGGGGCGGCCGGGGCTCTGCGCCCCAGGCAGGCCAGCTGTGCCCGGGTCTGATTTCTCCTCAGCAGAAGGGCTGCCTCAGTTAGCCCCATCTGTAGGATGGTCTGGCCGGCTCTGAGGAGCCAAAAGCCAGCCGCTGGACGCCAACTGGCATTTATTTGAAGCTGCCCTGCCCCCCTGCCAGCTGTCCCCCTGGCCGGCCCAAGCCCCTCCCCTCCAGGCCCGCCCCCTGCACAGGCCTCGGGGCCAGCGGGTCCCACCCAGAGGCCGGGCACCGCCATGAGCCTCTATGGGTCCCAGCGGCCTTTCTCCAGACCTAGTGGCCAAGCTGCTCCGAGCTCTGGCTGCGCCTGCTCCTTGACTGACGAGGGGGACCCCCAGCCCCGTCCAGGTGGTTTCCTCACCCAAGGAGACGGCCGCAGGTTTTACCATCATTTCCATCAAACTTCAGAGCCAGTCTTACCCCTCCCGGGAGTTATTCCCAGCCACCAGGCTACACCCCTCCTAGCCATACAACGCCTGCCTCAGTTTCCCCGTGGGTAACAAGTGCCTCATCATAGAGTTCTGGTAAGGACTGAATGAGACACAACCTGTGAAGACCTGGAGTACTGCTGGGTAACAGTGTGCGCTCAAGGGGGGCTTCTCACTCCATCTGGGGGTGCTACTGTGTTACCTGATGACAGCAGCTAACATAAAAAAAGGCTGTCCCATAAAAGAAGGGCCACTGATGTCCAGAGAGGAGCCCCCCCACACACACTCATGTCGTCCTCTGCACATCATCTCCCTCCCACCTGCCCGACTCAGTAGAAGCTACTCCAACCTGGCACAGGCAATGGCAACTTCTTCCTGAGTCTTCAGTCTCCCTCCAAATGGGCATTATCCTCCCGGCTTTACACGAGAGGAGACTGAGGCCCAGAGTGGGCGCGTGGAGAAGGAACATTCTTTCCTGGACTCCCTGAGCCCCTCCCTCCTGGAGTAACAGCGGGTTCCCACAGACGCTCCTCACATGACACAACCAGCAAGGTGACCGTTTCCAGAAGTCTCTCCACCTTGTGACATCAGAGCCCACAGACTTCTCTCCCCAAACCCCTGCCCCTCCCTTAACCTTGTACCCACCTCAGTTCTGACCCACAGCAACAGGTGTCCTGTGTTCATCTTTCCCTCTGTCCTGCCTTCCCTGCACCCCACACTCCCTAGTAGTTTCAGGGCAGCCGCCAGCCAGGCCAGGTCCTCATGTGCCTTGGGCTGAGTCTCCCCATTCACACATGCGCCCAGGATTTGCACCACAGATCAGCGCTCCTGGGGGGCCTGTGGGGGCCCAGCTGGTCACGGGAGGTGGGCGGGGAGCAGACACCTGTGAAGACCCGAAGGGAGGCCTGAGGCGGGGCTGCCCGGGCACTGGGCACCTACCCACAGCTGTGCATTTCTGGCACCTCCACCTTGCTGGATCTGTCCCACCATGGGGGAACTTCGGGCCCCCGTTTCACAGATAGGTTAAATAAAGCTGACTCAAGGTCATGTGGTGATAAGTGCTCCTGAGCCCAGTTTGGCCCGACTGCAGGCAGCACCCGGTACTGGAGGGATGACCGAGTGGCTGAGGGTGGCATCTGCAGGGGCATCGGAGGCCAGCCGGGGAGGTGGCCTGGAGGCTGGAGAGAAACTTGGAGAGAAACAGGAATTCTCTGGGCAGAGAGGAGGAAGGGCATGCCAGGCAGGGGGCACGTGCCAAGGCAGAGCGGTATGAAAGCGTCCGTGTGTTCTGGAGTCTGTGGGTGTATGGCTGGGTATGTTTGGGGGTCGGGGGACCCCGAAGAGGAGGCCCAAGGACTGGCTCCTTCTCTGCGGGGGGAGGGCACTGGTCCTGGCAGCTGCTGCCCTGGGACATCCTCAGGTATCAGCTTGCAGGAGTTTCACATTCAGTCCGTTCTCAGTTCGGCTTTGGGGTGCCTGGGGTCTCCCTCTCTGAGCTGGGGCTGGTCGGGCGGCCAAGCTCCGGGGAAGCTCTGCTGGCTGGGGAGGTGCAGGGGTTGCCCACCCTGTCTTGGACAGGAGCACTCGCCCACCCCTGTGAGGGTGGGAGTCGAGCGGGGGCTGCCCAGGACGTGGCTGGCTCCCGAGGGGCGGTGGGGTGCTGGGGTCTTCCCCCACCCTGCAGAGTGCGGGACCCCGACCTGAGACACACTCCACGGGGCAGGGAGGAAAGGGGTGCGGATTCTTCCTTGTAAAGACTGGGGAACCACGCGGACCCAGAGAGCCGAGGCCGGGGCGGGGTCCGGTTCTGCTGCCCCCGGGTGACCTTGGGGCGCTCGTGCCCCCCTGTACTCAGTCTCCCGGTCTGTGAAGTGGGGCGGCGTGTCTAGGTGATTTTGAGGGTCCCTTCAGCAAGGCCGCCTCCGTCTCGGGCCCGGGGTCCGTCAGGTCCTCGCCTGCAGGACCCTCGGGCGGGGCCGGCGCCCCAGCCCCGACCCGCTCCCCCCCGCGAGGCTCCCGCCGCCCCCTCCGGCTCGGCCCCGCTCCACCTGCCCGGCGGCCCGGAAGGCCCGGGAGCGGATCCCGGAGCGGGCTCCGGCGGGAGCGCTCCCGAGGGAGGCGGAAAACCCGGGCGGGATCCCGGGCGGGAGCGGCCCCGGCCCCCGGCCCCGGCCCCCGGCCCCGAGCGCGGGGGCGGGGGGCGCGCGGCCGCCGCGGGGCGCCGGGGCCGGGCCGGGGCGCGGGGCGCGCGGGCCCCGGGCTGGGGGGGCGCGCGGCCTCCGCAGCGGGGCGCGGGTCACGTGTGAGGAGGGGCGAAAGTCTCCAAAGCGGCGGCGGGGCGAGTTGGGAGTTCTCGGCGCGCCGCGGGCGGCGGAGCTCGGGCTCCCGGGCGAGCCGGGGACGCGGCGCGGCGGGGCCGGGTCCGGGCCAGCGGGCGCGGGAGTGGGCGGGAGCCGGGGCGCGGGGCCGGGGCGGCGACGCGGGGGCGCGCGGGGAGCCGCCGGGCAGAGGCGGGAGGCGGGCGGAGGCCGGCGGGCGCCGGAGCCGGCGGCGCAGACCCGCCCGGGGAGCGCGGGGCGCGGGGGCGCGGGGGGCCGGGCCGAGCCCCGGGGGGCGCGCGCGCAGGTGGCGGCGGCGCGGGGCCGCGGGCCGCGGGGTCCGGGGCGGGGGTCCGGGGCGGGGCCGCGGGGCGGGGGGCGCGCGGGGCGGGGGCGGCGCGCGGCCCGCGGGGGGCGGCGGGGGCGGGGGGCGCGCGGGCGGCCGCGCGCCATGGGTCCCCGGGCCCCCGCGCTCTGAGCCCCGGCCCGGGGCCCGGCGATGCTGACGCCCAGGCGGCGCCGAGGGCGCGGCGCGCGGCGGCTCTGAAAGTTGCGCGGCCCGCGGGGAGCGGCGCGGGACAGCCGAGGCGCCAGCCCCGAGCCCGAGCGACGGACCCCGCGGCCGGGCGGGGCGCGGCCGGCCCGCCGAGCTCTCGCCGAGGGGGCGCCCGGACCCCGTCTCCGCGCCGGGACGCCGTGGGATGTAGCGCCGCCCGCCGCCTCCCGGACACGCTTCGGACCCTCCGCCCCGCGGTAAGCCCGGCCCGCCCGCCGCGGCGCTGCCGATCGCTGTCTGTCCCCCGCGCGCGTCTGTGTGTCCCGGGCGCGCCGCGCCGGCCCCGCAGCGGGTCCCCGCGGCTGCCGGGCCGGGCGCTCCGCCGTCCGAGCGCTCCCGTCGGGGCGCGGAGTCGGGGTCTCCGCCGGGACGCGGGGAGGGGCTGGGAGGAGCCTTGACCTCCTGCCCCACCACGGCCCTTCCCTGCCTGCGTCCACCCCCGGCTGTCGCGAGGGTTTGGAGGAGCTTCGAGGCAGGTGGCTTGTGGCAAAGGCAAGGGGGGGGGCCCTTTCCACCTCCCCAGGGCCCCTGCCGTCTGACGGGGACCCAGTTCCACTGCTCCTGTTTGGGCACCCGCTTTGGGGCTGGGAACCCCAGGATGGGTGGACAGGGCGTGAGCCGCGTCACATCTCGAGTGGCAGCGAAGGCTGCGGAGGGACGGGAAGGGCTTTTTCCTCCCTAGAGGGAGCGCCCCAGGGAAGAAGGGCGCCGGCTGAGCTCCTGAGCGGGGAAACTTCCCCTGCAACATGCCCGGTGCCTCGGCCCGGCATACACCGGGCATCAACACCTCCCCTGTGCCCCAGAGCCCGGCGCCTGGAGGGGCAGCCGGTGCAGGGAGATGGCGGCGAACCCAGCCCTCGTCCTCCCGGCAGGGCAGCGGCTCAGTTGGCAGTTGAGGGCTCAAGAGCAGTGGAATGTCATGCAGCAGGTTGAGGCGACCAGAGCTGCGGAGCTGCACCCATGTATGTGTGTGCACACGAGTGTGTGTGTGTGTGAGAGCGAGCGAGAGAGAGAGGATGTGCGTGTAGTTTCTATTCTGCTTCTCCCCCACATCTAGTCCTGTGATCTCCGGGGCTTTGGGACTTCTGGGGGTTCTTGGGAGGTCTTTGGGGGCCGAGAGCCACACTGTGACCATGCGTGGGCCGGCGTTGAGGGGAGCAAAAGGCGGGCGAGGGCTGTGGGGTGAATCATGGTGGGATGGAAGGCAGTTGGCCACTGAGCTGACCCATATCCAAACTGGAGCCCGGTGGGGCTGAGCTAGAACATTCCATGCTGTTCTCCAACGAGGAGGAGCTCTTTCTGGACTTTTCCACTCTGGGCAATGGGCCTCAACTCATCTTCATTCCGGCACCTAGAAACCAGCACCACTAGCTGAGGAAACAGCACCCTGGTCAATTCCTTTCCTTCCTGACCCCCGGCTTCCGTACTGAGGAATGAGGACACCGCTCCCTGCCCCCGGACTGCCAAGGGGTCCTCCTGGGCTCAAGGGAGCCGAGGGCTGAGGCAAGGGCTGGAGGCGTGCGTGGCAGGTGGGAGTGCAGGCTCCTCTTCCCTCCAGGAAGATGGGCGGCTGCGGGAGGGGGTGATGAGGCCTGACATGGAGGGCTGCTGAGGAGAGGAATTAGGGGGTGGCATCTGGGGCTTAGGAGCTGTGCCTCGTGGACCCTTGGGTTGCCCTTGAAATGGAAGCTCTTTTCCCAGAAGAAGCCTTTGGGGTGACTGAGAATAGACAGAACTGGCCTTGAGTTTTTGCTGGGTGACCTTGGCAGCTGGCTTGACCTCTCTGAGCCTCAGTTCCTTCAACTAGAGAATGGGGGCGGCGGGGTGGACTTCCCTGGGCTGCTGACTGATGTACAGACTCTCCTGGGTCTCCGAGAGCAGCTCGCACAAGCCTGGAGCCTAGTAGGTGCTTAGCGGACGTTTGTGGAGCAGGGAACAGAGTCACACTAGGAGATGCTGGGAGATTTCTTATCTTAGGATCTGAGGAAGGCGGAGGAACAGTGTAGGCTTACAGGGCGGGCTGGTTCTTAATGTGGATCTGGGGGAGGCGGGGGCGGGTGCCGAGGGGAGTGTGAGGAGGAGGGGGCCCCTCGGCGGGGACCACTGAGTCACGAGGACATGTAAGCGACATGACAACCAGCAACACGGTAACCAGGAGACTAGCGCCGTGGGAAACGGAGCTGGAGCGGTGTGGGGGGGTCAGGACTGGCAGCAGGGGCAGGAGAGTCCGGGGAGCACCCAGACCCGTCCCGGAGTGAGGAGGGGAGGCCCCGCGGCTGGGTGGGCGAGGGAGGAGGTGGGGACCCCGAGTGGAAGGAGGTGAGGCGCCTCGGGGGTCCGCTGGGTAGGGGGGCTTCTCTCGCACCTCCCCAGGCTCCTCGCTCCTCTCCTCCACATCTCCACTTTTCATGCCTCTCCCCCTAGGATGCCAAATTTGGCTCACGCAATCTGTCGTCTCTCTTCTGAGATTGGCACCGGGACCAAAGCCGAGTGCATTACATCACCGCGCTCCCCCAACACAGGGAAAGCAGAGGGAGGGGCGGTGGGCTGGGGGCCCGCGGCCAAGCCTCAACTTTCTTTCCGGTCTTCCTGCTCACTCCGGTCACCTCAATCCTAGTTGTCGGGGGGCTTCTGGGAGCAGCTAAGCAGGACCCAGGGACAGCACCAGAGCTCATCTCGGGGATCCCGGGCTGGAGAAGAAAGTCAGGCCCTGTGGCTGTCCCCCTGACTAGGAGGGCCCAGGGGGGCAGGCAGCCTGGGTGCAAGAGCCAACCTGTTCATGGCCTTGCTGGGTGACCTTGGGCACCCCCCACGCCACCCCATGCAGAGTCTACATCTGTGTGGAGGACGGTTGGCCACTCAAGATGTTGGTGAATCTCCTAAAAAAGACGCCCTTGACTCCTGCTGCTGTCCCGGGCATAGGAGGAATCCTGAATTCTAGATGTTTCTCTGACCTTGAGCAAGTACTTACTGCTAATGCCTCCATGCCTCACCTGTAAAATGGGGACAGAACCCACAAAGTCACTAGACATGAAAGGGGGGAAAGCGGAAGAGACAGGGTCTCTGGCCGTGGAGATACTCGGGAGCCCCGTGGCTCCCCGCACGCGGGGCTGGAGGCTGGGAAGGTGGCCCCAGCCATTGTGGGGGGAGTGGGGTGGTGCCTCGATTCAGACAGAAGCCTTGGCACATAAATCACTTAAAAATAACATCTGATGTTCGCATTTCACAAAAGTGGAAACTGAGGCTGGGGAGGGAAGTGGACCCCCAAGGTCACAGTGATGGTTTGGAGGTGAAGGAAGCAGAACTGAGATCTGAACCCTGGGTCCTCGGCTCCCAGCCCACGCCTGGGTAGACAGACAGACACCACCCCCCCCCCCATGGGACATCACGGCAAGCCCGACGGCAGCCAGGGCTCAGGGGCCCTTCTTATTTTGGCCCCTTCCCCATTCCAGCTTTTGGGTCCCGTCCCCAGCACCTCTGGCGTGAACCTCCTCCTTCTTCTGGTCAACTTGATGAACTTTCTTCCAAACTCATTTTTTTTTTTAAAGATTTATTTATTTATGCATACAAGAGCTGGGGTGGAGGGAGGAGAGGATTCACCAGAGACAGAGTAGGGAACAGAACAGGCAGACGGACGAAATACACTGCCGAGGGGAGCAGCGGGTGCGACAGGAGAGGTCTGCTGCGCCATGTGGGTAGCTCCCTGGCCGGGGATCGAACTCGTGCTGCTGATAGCTTCATAGTGCTGAGACTTAACCCCTTGAGCCACCAGGGAGGCCTCTCTTCCAAATTCATTTTAAAGCCAGTTTCATGCAGCCCCAGGGCAGGGACAGTCTGGATTGGGGTTAAGGAGGAAGAGTATGGCCCCTTCTAGAAGATTTCCAGAGCTGGAGGTGAAGAAAGATGGGGAGCATGTGTGGAGGTTTTATGAAATAGTGAGCTCCTGGTCCCCCACAGCTATTCAAACAGCATTGGATGAGTACCTGCCAGGGGTCCTAACCCGGTGACTCCTGCTTTATGGGTGAGGCTGAATGACATCCCACCCCCAAAACCCCAAGAGTCTTTGATTCGCACTCCCACCCCCCAGGGGCTGGGAAGCAGCACCTCCCTGCTTCCTAGCAAGGAAACACATTGTCATACCAGGCACTGGGCTAGGAGCTTTTGCAAACACCTTCCTGTTTAATCCTCCCTGCAACCCCGCAGTGTCATTTGTTGTCCCCACGTTACAGATGGGGGAGCCACGGCTCAGAGAGTCTACGTGATTTGCCCAAGGTCACACAGCAGGGAAGTGGGGGAGCCTGGGTTTGAGTCAGGGCCAGGCTGATTCTCAGGGCTGTCGCTGGGACTTCCTCAGGGAAAGAGTGGAAGACATCCTTCTCCCGGGCTGGGACTTGGCAGGAGATGGTGTGTCGCCCCCACAGCATGACACCCCCTCAGGGATCCTCGGGGGCTCCATTCTGAAGACATAGATATAGACGTGCGCCCAAGGGGAGGACTTGTGTTACAAACGGGAAGACAGGCTCAGGGGCAAAGAATGACCTGCCCAGCGGTGCCCAGAGAGGCCCCTTGGGCCCGGGCGCTGTCCCCTGCACACGTGGGCAAGAGGAGACATGTGGGCTGATGCGGCATGAGGTCTGGGGTTGGGGTGCAGAATCCTGGCTACATAAGGCTGTGAGCACCACTCTGGATAGGGCGGCGGGGAGTAGAGTCAGCCTCCCGGGGCAAGGAGAGAAGCCAGGTGGGCCGGCAGGTCTGCCTCTGCCCCTGGTCCTGCCTCAAGTGCAGCCCCAGAGCTGGGAGGCCAGGGGAAGCTGTGGCTGGGAACTGCCCGGCGAGATGTTGGTGACAGCGGCCCAGGGTAGGGCCGCTGTGCACCCTCAGGTCAGCCCCTCATCCTCTCTGAGCTCGGTGCGCCCGTCCCTGTGACCACAGTCAGGAGGAATGATCCGTTTCCACAGAAGCCCTGGGGGTGGGCTGTCCTCTCCCAGCGCCCCTCCCTCCCCGCGAGGCCCCGGGCCGGCCACGGGCAGGCAGCAACCCCGGGGTTGGCATAACCTTTAAGCCTCCTGGAGACTCAGCCCGCCTCGGGTGTGGGGAGCTCTCCAGGCACAGCCCTTCTTCTCCTTTTCTTCTTTATTTTTCTCCTGCTCCCTCTTCCCCTTGCTACGTGGGCTGATCGCTGCTCAAACTTTTAATT